TCATCAAAACGAGCAGAAGGAAATCTGCAGCTAGGTTGACGATGACGATGGCAGATGGTGGCTAACAACTTTTCAATGAGGCCTAGAGTCCCCCCTTTCATGGGCGCTATCTGTGGGATCGAGGTGGTAAGTGGGAGTCCCAAGAAAACTGGCGGATTTCTTTCTAGCCTTCAGATTTACTTTTGCCAGACCAAGAAAACACGCTGACGATGGATTCAGTCTTTGGCACGAAAACACACATGCTGCTATTTGCGCCTGTTTTTCGAGGAACCCCTACGACTTGCACCGTCTTGATGTCTCATTCAGCTTTTTGTCGCGTGAGCTCTTTCCACAGTTCCTTGCCAAGGTTTCATCCTTGTCAGCCACGTTTTGCAATGTGGTGCCCCCCGGTCATACGTTGGCGTATAATGAGCCCCAGTAACAATAGATAAATCTATATAATTAGATACTTAAACCTTAATTAGATTCTGGGCATGAACATCTGCAATGTATAAACAAACTTCGCCCATTATGGGGCACCGCTTTTTAGGCTCACTGTCGGAGTGGGCGCTGTTGGGGTGTTTTTACTATCTCAAAATGTGATGTGTAAAAAGCGTGCATGCTGAACACATGTTTGCACTGGGGTTCGTTAGCTTCATCCCATGACAGAAATTGCAGGTGCGCAGAGTAGCGTCCAAATTTGTATCACCAGATCATACGGGTGCCTTCGTTGGTAGTGGTCCCAGATGATTTGCCGCTACACCCTGCACATACGATCATGAAGAATTGATATTTGACTTGTTAGTACCTGTTTGGTCATCACAGGGTACACACACAGGCCCCCGAAGGGGGGCAGAATCAAGGAGGGGGGCGATGGAAGGAACAAGGGCAGCCAGCCACAACAAACTACGGGGAACCAAGAGGAAAAACAATGAAGGCAGACAACACGCAGAGGGAGCACGCAACAAGCAGGAAGAACAGGGAAAGAGAAGTAGGGAGTGCGGGGTGAAAAAAGGAAGCGCACAGGAACCCAGCCCTGGCACACGGAAGAGTATCAGCGCAAAACAGAACAAGCAACAAAGCAAAACACCAGCAGCGAGACAAGTGAAGCAGGATAGCATATGGAAGTAGCAAACACAAACCTGAGGGTGCGGCGGAGAGTCGGGGGCTAAGGGGGGGAAGAGGGGGAAGAAAGAGGAGAAAATAACACGTGTGGAGGACCCACAGAGGCAGGAAGGTGCACATCCAGCTTAATATTCCAGTCTCTAGGGTCACACCAAGAAAGCAAGAGAGGGGGGTGGTTAAGCAAAGATGCTCTTCACCAGTGCCAAGTAAATTGCTTGACTGAACCCTTTTTCCCCACATCTTTGTGTGGGGTTCTTGTTTTTGATTCTGTATCCCGGCTCCTTCTCCTCCTCTTCTCCTCCTCCTCCGCCTCCTCCTCTTTGTCACATATCACTTAGTCACACATCATCTTTCACATACAACTTTGTCACACAACAACTTTGTCACCATCATCTTTCACACACACCTTTGTCACACATCATCTTTCACACTTCAACTTCATAAAATCCTTTGTCACACATCAACTTTGTTACACATCATCTTTCACACACACACACCTTTGTCACATCAACTTTGTCACACATCTTTGTCATACATCATCTTTCACACACACACCTTTGTCACGCTTCAACTTTGTCGCCAACTTTGTCACACATCCTCTTTCACACACAAGACAACAACTTTGTCACACATCCTCTTTCACACAACTTTGTCACACATCATCTCTCACACACAACTTAGTCACACACCATCTTTCACACACACCAGCTTCACACAGCAACTTTGTCACACATCATCTTTCACACAACTTTGTCACAAATCCTCTTTCACACACAGCTTCGTGGCAGGCATGGCACTTGGTCACATCCAGCGGCACTTTGTCACACATCCTCTTTCACACACAACTAATGGCACTTGGCGACATCTACCTTCGTTTTGCGTGGCAGGCGTGGTACAGGTTGCACTTGGTGGCGCGCTTGGTCGCCGTTGGTCGCCGATGGTCACCGGTGACCCCGCGGCACTTTGCGTGGCAGGCGTGGCACTTGGCGACATCTATCTTTGCGTGGCAGGCGTGCTACAGGTTGCACTTGGTGGCGCGCTTGGTCGCCGTTGGTCGCGGTTGGTCGCCGGTGACGCTGCGGCACTTTGCGTGGCAGGTGTGGCACTTGGCGACATCTATCTTCGTTTCATGTGGCAGGCATGCCACTTGGCGACATCCACCTGCGTTGCGCGTGGCAGGCATGGCACTTGACGACATCTACCTTCGTTTTGCGTGGCAGGCGTGGCGCAGGTTGCACTTGGTGGCGCGCTTGGTCGCCGTTGGTCGCCGTTGGTCCCCGCTGACGCCGCAGCACTTTGTGCGGCGGCAACATCTATCTTCGTTTGTAGGCCTTCGTTTTGCGTGGCAGGCGTGCTACAGGTTGCACTTGGTGGCGCGCTTGGTCGCCGTTGGTCGCAGTTGGTCGCCGTTGGTCGCCGTTGGTCGCCGTTGGTCGCCGTTGGTCGCCGTTGGTCGCCGTTGACGCCGCGGCACTTTGAGTGGCAGGCGTGGCACTTGGCGACATCTATCTTCGTTTCATGTGGCAGGCGTGCCACTTGGCGACATCCACCTGCGTTTCACGTGGCAGGCGTGCCACTTGGCGACATCTACCTTCGTTTTGTGTGGCAAGCGTGGTACAGGTTGCACTTGGTCGCCGTTGGTCGCCGTTGGTCGCCGCTGGTCGCCGTTGGTCGCCGGTGACGCCGCGGCACTTTGCGTGGCAGGCGTGGCACTTGGCGACATCTATCTTCGTTTCATGTAGCAGGCGTCCCACTTGGCGACATCCACCTGCGTTTCACGTGGCAGGCGTGGCACTTGGCGACATCTACCTTCGTTTTGTGTGGCAGGTGTGGTACAGGTTGCACTTGGTGGCGCGCTTGGTCGCCGTTGGTCGCTGGTGACGCCGCAGCACTTTGCGTGGCAGGCGTGGCACTTGGCGACATCTATCTTCGTCCATGTGGCAGGCCTGGCACTTGGCGGCATCTACTTTTGTTTTGCGTGGCAGGTGTGCTACAGGTGCACTTGGTGGCGCGCTTGGTCGCCGTTGGTGGCCGTTGGTCGCCGTTGGTCGCCGTTGGTCGCCGTTGGTCGCCGTTGGTCGCCGTGCCGCGGCACTTTCCGTGGCAGGCATGGCACTTGGCGACATCTATCTTCGTTTCATGTGGTAGGCGTGGCACTTGACGACATCCACCTGCGTTTCACGTGGCAGGCGTGGCACTTGGCGACATCTACCTTCGTTTTGCGTGGCAGGTGTGCTACAGGTTGCACTTGGTGGCACGCTTTGTGGCCGTTGGTCGCCGTTGGTCGCCGGTGACGCCGCGGCACTTTGCGTGGCAGGCGTGGCGCTTGGCGACATCTATCTTCGTTTCATGTGGCAGGCGTGCCACTTGGCGACATCCACCTGCGTTTCGCGTGGCAGGCGTGGCACTTGGCGACATCTACCTTCGTTTTGTGTGGCAGGTGTGGTACAGGTTGCACTTGGTCGCCGTTGGTCGCCGTTGGTCGCCGTTGGTCGCTGGTGACGCCGCGGCACTTTGCGTGGCAGGCGTGGCGCTTGGCGACATGTATCTTCGTTTCATGTGGCAGGCGTGCCACTTAGCAACATCCACCTGCGTTCCACGTGGCAAGCGTGGAAGAAATCGGATGCCAAGCAGATGACATTGGAGCGCTGGCGTTAAAAAAAAAGTCCTCAGTGATGCCGCATGTCAGTGCCCAGCTTGAACTCAGTTCATGTCTTGTGCCGGTTTACATTTTCTTTTTCAGCAATGAACTTGTCGTTTGGTGCAGTCACAGCTGTCAGTGACATGCTTTGATGATCTTTGATGTCTCTACACGGCATCTTGGGACCCTGCACCTTTTTTTTTGCCACACACCATCTTTCACTCAGTAACTTTGTCACACACCACCTTTCACTCACAACTTTCACACACACAATCTTTCACACAAAACTTTGTCACATTCACATACACCATTTTCTTCGTCGCACACCATCTTTCACGTACCACTTTGTCACGCACAACTCTTCACATACAACTTGTTTTACTTCTCGATCTTCCACCACCTCCTTCGTCTTTCCTTCCTTGCCCGTCCCTGCTACAACTCATTATTGGAAGAAGTTGACTTGTGGGGTTATCCGGTCCTTTAATGTACTTCTGCATGCGCAACTTCGCTCTATTGAACTATTTCGCCTTGTGGATGCTTCGCCGTGTGGCTCCCTGGTTTGCTGTTCCGCGTGGGGTGGAATGTTGCTATCTTGAAAGACCGCCTTAGCTACACTCGAAGTATAGACGGCTTCGAATTGTGAAGCATCGCTGTTCACGATTCGCTCGGAATAATACGGGATGACCCACCCATGACTGTTCGACCAATGGCAATTTATCATCGGCACATCCAATGCCCAATGCGCACTGCAGGTAAAGTGAGACTGAAAGTAAGTATTGTTTATGGATTCTGTCCTCGCCCTGAAGTTACCTAACACGCAGCATCCTGAAAAATTGAACAAGTCCAGATAACGAATCGAAGACTCATAATTATTTATATATATATATAAATACACCTACTGTATCTTTATATATCCATCTATATGTATAATATATATATATGTATAATATATATATATATATGTGTGTGAGAATCCCCTGCAGTGCATTGCAACTGACTGCAACTGACTGAACTTTGCTGTGTATGCATTCATAGCTGGCCCAGATCACAGCCGACGCATTGCATATGTCAGCTAGTGCATGGCCCGCACGGCAAGGATGACACGCACCATCAAAGAAAGAGATCAAGCACAAATCGAGAAGTGTACATATCACTATCCAAATACTTTCACCTTGTTTTGCAACTGTCGTGAAAAGGGTTGCCGCTGATCCGTTGCCAGTCTCAGACTGGTAGCGGAGCGGTTCGCTTTGCTGCGATGGCTTCAGAAGGCAGTGGTGGTGGAAAGCCGTTCTGGAGTGACTATGAGGACACGGTGGATCGAGACGGCATTCCCCACTACACCGGAGCATCACCAGCTCTGATGAAGGAGTACACCAGGCGAGTGAAGTTCGCTTTCCATGGCTTGGAGGGCGAGGGAAAAGACGAAGAAGCTGAAGCAGCTGACCTTTTGAAGAAGCAGATGAGGTTCGGCCGCCGCCTGATAGATGCTCTTCATGGAGAAGCATGGCGTGCTGTGGAGCACCTGGTGATGCAGCCGGAGAAGTTGAAGAAGAAGGACGGCTATGAGGAGGTCCTCAACGCCTTGGGATCAATTGAGAAAGAAGGCGTGATCCGCAAGACAGAGGCCTTCGACAAGTTCTTCGAATCAACTCGCCGAGCTCGCAGTGAAGCAATTGATGCCTACTTGCGCAGCAAGAACCAGGCCTGGAGGGATCTATGTGACTTGGATGAGACGTCAGCGATGTCAAAAGACCTGCTGTCCTACTTCGTGCTCAAAGGCTGCAACCTGAGCCGTGAAGACCGCAGATCGATCTTGCTGGCCAACAAGTCCACCTATGACCAGGCCGGGATCGAGCAGTCGCTTCGGGTGAGCTTCCATGATCTTCATGAACGTGAGAAGCAATCTGGATGGCGAGATGATCGCAAGAAGCCCATGAAGAAGCGATACTATGCCAATGAGGTCCACGATGGAGAGTCTCCGGATGAGGACGACGTGATGATGGTCTACTACCACAACGACTCTGAGTATGACGAAGAGGACCTGGCGGAAGAGGCCTACTACCATGGTGAAGATGATGATGCCGAAGCCTATGAACTTGGATCGGATGCTGGAGCTTCGGGTGACGATGACGTGTATACCAGGCCTATGTGACCATGGAGAAGGGCCGACAAGCCTACAAAGATGCCCGGAAGAAGCTTCGGGATGTGCAGAAGAGCCGTGGCTTCTACCAGAATGGCAATTGGAGCAGCCGAGACCAGGCCAAGGAGAAGGAGAAGAGCAGGTCGCGCTGTGCGGCTTGTGGCCACATTGGCCATTGGGCAGGTGACAGCGTATGTCCAAAGTCATCTGCAGGAGTTGGTCCGAAGAAGGGCAAGGGCAGAGGCAAGAGTCAATCGAAAGGCAAGAAGAAGTCCAAAGGTGGAGCCTATGCTGCAGCACCGTGCCCCATGCTGTTTTCCTTGGAGGATCCGGATGATGGATTTCAAGATGAAGAAGGACACAGCTTCATGGTGCACACTGGTCCCAACGATGACGTTGATGCCAATGACATGCAGCAGGATGAGGGCCACACCTTCACTGATGACCGCCCCAAAGTCTCAGCTGGATCCTCCTCAGCTGACTGGGAGACCGTGACTGAGCCGCCCATGCCTGGATCTGACCGACCTGCTGGCTCACGCCCTTTTGAGGTCTTGGCACCTGATGGTCCTTGGGAGTCATCGACCAAGCAAGGTCGCTTTGTGGAGGAAACCCAGGAGGTTATCAAGCCGACCATGCTGGCCAAGATCGAAGTGAGGGAAGTCAGCTCTTTCGCAGAGGTTCGCCCTAGCAACATGGAGCAGATGAAGGCCTACCAGTTGCAAGGTCTCTGTGAGAAATGGGGCATCCAGACGGGTGGTGCCAAGAAGGATTTGCTGATGAGGCTGGAGGATCTGCTTGCAGGTCGCGAAGTGCCGAAAAAGAAGTGCACGTTTGTCAAGTTGGTGGAGGAAGAGCCATCGACTTATGGATCTATGGCTGGATCTGCACCGGCGACACCACTTCGTCCTGAACCTGGCGGACCACGGCCGTGTCCCCAACGAGGCTATCATGGAGTTGCTGAGTCGCCTGGGGTGCCACCGATGCCAAAAGGTGGGCAGAATCGATCGCCGTCAATGGGCTCTTCGTCTAAGGCGCTTGGGGCGTCGGCAAAAGCATCAGGGCTGCGCCCAATTCTGGCGATGGATCTGGAGATTGGCAAGCCTTTGTATGGCCTGCAGTGTTGTAACTGCGGTGCGCCTATGGTTGCAAGACAGACCCGAGGAGATGGCAGCCTTTTCTTCTCGTGTGCTCAATGGCCGAACTCGAGATGCAGCTTCACCAGACCGCTGCAAGATGGGCTGGACATCATCAATGGCAGAATCCCTGATGTCCGCCACCCGAGAAGCCCTGCTCGCAGCTTGGCGGGCAACTGAGAAGTCAAGAAAGCTGCTGGCAGTCAGCGCATTTTGCGCCTACATGACTGCAGAGGAGAATTCAACGGAGCATGAACCTTGCGAACTGTTGCATGCCGACCATGATGGGTCGACCTTTGAAATGGTGGCGAAGACACACCATGAATTAGAAGATGGCAATGGTGGAGGTGAAGGCCGAATGGCTTTGGTCGACACAGCTTGCACGAGCTGTATGCATTCAAAGGCTTGGAGGATTGCATACTCCAAGGCACTGCCTGAGGGGTACCAGTGCGAGAAAACCGAGCGCACCAAGCTCTTCCATTTTGCAGATGGCTCCAACACTGGGAGCACCATTCACCTGTGGAGAATTCCATTGTTCATGGGTGATCGTCCAGAATCGTCCAGAGCTGAGGTTGAAACGGGCACCACTCCTTTGCTTCTCTCTATTCCTGCCTTGATAGCCCTGGATGCTGTGATTCACATGCGGGAGAAGCGCATCAACCTGAGGTCTCTTGGAGTGGAACTGCCGTTGAGAGAAACTAGAACCAAGCACCTGGCCATGATGGTTAGCTACAACCCCTGTTTGGGCATTGCCAAAGATGTGGAAGGGTCCCCCAAAGCAACTTCCATCAATCAAGACCTTTTTGTTTACTACAGCGAGGAGGCAAGTCTTCCAGTTTTGACTGATGAGCCAATGGTTGAAGTCCCGGTGAGCGAGGACTATGCGGCAGACTGCTCACCGCCTCAGTTGGGGCAAGGGGCATTCGAAAAGATGACGTCACTGGTTTCCTTGGTGACCGCCGAAGTGCTGAGCTGGCCTATGCCATGAAGTCCATGAGATTGCAAGATGATAGGACATGGGCAGCTTTGAGCAAGCACTACTCCTTGGCGGAGCAGGCGGCAACTAAGGGCTTTAGCACTACTGTTTTGTTTGAGCCTTTTGGAGGCCACTTTGGAGTGACGAGGACTGCCTCAAGGGAGTTCAATTGGACGAACTCTCAACCATTGGATCGGCTGGATGGCTATGACCTTTTATCACCTGCCGGTGAGGAGCTTCTTTTTCGAGTGCTGGACGAGCACGACCCTGTTTGTGTGCTCATTGCGTTTGACTGCAGGCTCTGGTCTTTGCTCAACAACGTATGTCCTGGAGGTGATTGGGAACATCTTCGCAAGACCATTGGCCTGAAGACTCTGCGTTTGGTGAAACGCATTTGTGAGCACCAATGGAAAAGAGGCCGATACTTTGTGGTGGAGAACCCCGCGACCAGCGTGGCTTGGAGATACCACAGAATCCTCACTCAGATTTTGGAGAAGTTTGATGGAAAGTATGTGATCTGCGATCAATGCAGGTATGGTCAACGAGATTCGGAAAGTGGAAAGCTGATCCGCAAACCAACTGGCTGGCTTTCCAATTCTGAGCCGATTTTGAACCATGCTGGGAAGAGATGTCAATGTCCTCCCGGAGAGCATCAACAAGTTTGGGTTAAAATGCCAAGGGCTTGCGCAGTCGTCAGGCTGCATGCTACCCACCAGCTCTATGTCGAGCTATTTGCAAAGGTCTGTTACAGACCATGGAGCTGGACTATGCCGGTCTTAGTGCTCAGGGTGATTTGGCTTACGCCAACCTTTCAGAATCCGATGCCGAGGGAGAGAACATGGAGGGTGAAGAGCCCATGGATGGTGACTATTGGATCATCGAAGGCAATGAGGTGATCCGAGTTCATGTGATTCCACAGAGGCATTTGTTTGTCCCTTTGGCCACCACCGGGGTTCCTGTTCCTGTGAAATCCCTAGCAGAAGCGAGGTCGACAGAGGCCCACTTTGTCAATGGTGATCCTCCTGAGTATGTGATGGATGACTGGACGCAGGCCAGTGAGGCCCATGCTGAACTTCCAAGTCTATGGGTTGGCCGCACCAGCTTCATCTTTGCCTTGCCGACACAGCCTGAAGAGCAACCAGCTCAAGCTTGGCGCTGATTTAAGCCCTTGCCACCTTTTACCATTTTGATTTTGATGAAGTTTTTTTTAATCTCAGCGAAAATAAAAAAATGTAAAAATCAAAACTTTCCACCAATAGAGAATAACTATTTTTCTATTTATGCTGCTGCGAAAAAAAGTTAAGAAACAAAAATGTGAAGAAAAAAACACATAACAACATTTCCCTTGGAAAGGGATCCTCAAGGTGAATTTCCCATGGGATGCTGTAAAGTGTCCACTATGACTATGACTCAAAAGGGTGCTGTTCAAACAACATATTGTTTTTGATATTGGCGTTTGGTGCTGGATTTTCTATTTATGATTCTTCGAAAAAATCAAGAAACAAACATGTGAAGATCAAAATTTACCACATGGCACAAGTCATTCGAAAAGATGGGTGGGAGATTTGTTCACAATTTTCCATGGGATGCTGTAAAAGTGTCCACTATTCCACTATGATTCAAAAGGATGCTGTTCAAACAACATGGTGTTTTGATAATGGTTTTTGGTGATTATTTTTCTTTTATGGTTTTTGGAAACAGAACAAGAAACAAAACGGTGAAGATCAGCATGTACCAAATGTCACAAGCCATTTAAAAAAGATGGGTGGGGGGATCTGTTCAAACTTTTTTCGTGGGATGCTGTAAAAGTGTCCGCTATGATTTAAAAGGGTGCTGTTCAAACAACATTTTGTTTTTGATGTTGGTTTTTGGTGATGGGTTTTTTGTTTGTGGTTCGAGAGAAAGATCAAGCAACAAACATGTGAAGATCAAAATTTACCACATGGCACAAGTCATTCGAAAAGATGGGTGGGAGATTTGTTCACATTTTTCCATGGGATGCTGTAAAAGAGTCCACTGTGATTCAAGAGGGTGCTGTTCAAACAACATGGTGTTTTGATAATGGTTTTTGGTAATTAGTTTTCTTTATGGTTTTTGGAAACAGAACAAGAAACAAAACGGTGAAGATCAGCATGTACCAAATGTCACAAGTCATTTAAAAAAGATTGGTGGGGGGATCTGTTCAAACTTTTTTCGTGGGATGCTGTAAAAGTGTCCGCTATGATTTAAAAGGGTGCTGTTCAAACAACATGGTGTTTTGATAATGGTTTTTGGTGATTATTTTTCTTTCATGGTTTTTGGAAACAGAACAAGAAACAAAACGGCGAAGATCAGCATTTACCAAATGTCACAAGTAATTTTAATGATAATGTTTTGGTTGGCTGATCTGTTTCTTTTTTACAACCTGCCAAGACACAAGAGACGTTGATTTGTTGTGATGCTGCAGCCCATATCATAAGAATGAGGGGGGGCAGGGCGACCAAACAAATACAGCAGGCAGGGGTATGGAACATTTGCTTTATTAGAAACCCATCCCATTCAATGCATACTACAGTAGTTGTAGTGGTTTCGTTGTTGTTCCTCCTGACCGCAGCCTTCAAGCCATGGTGGCGAGCACCTCAATTGCAACTTGTGCTGGCAATGAGAGCCTGCAGCAACCTGTCACTTAGTTGCCGCTGTAAGAGTGGCTTTCAAATTATGGCCAAGTATTTCCAAAAAGTATATACAAGAGAATTGCCATAGTATAGTCTAGTATAAATATATATATATACATATATAATTATATATATATATGACGAGAATTGCAACATACTTGCCAAAGGCAGTGATGCATGTTTTTTTTTTTCTGTGCGGTGATGCTCACTTTTGAACTCTCAGGTCATCTTCATCATCTTCAATCGCCGCTTCTCTCAAAATTTAGGTGGACTGAGCTCAGGGGCATTAGTGCTGTAAGAGTACTAATGCCCGGACGCTGTAACAGTGTCCAGACGCTGTAAAAGTGTCTAGCGCTGTAAGAGTGCTCAGGGGGCATTAGTGCTGTAAGAGTACTAATGCCCGGACGCTGTAAAAGTGTCCAGACACTGTAAAAGTGTCTAGCGCTGTAAGAGTGCTGGTTGGACTTGGCGCTGTAAAAGTGCCTGGACCTACATCCTGGATCGCGAGAAGCCGAAGAGTCCGGAAGCTTCAAGATCTTTCACATCAAGTTCAGAGGCGGGGTCAGCGTCAATATCCAACTATATATGTATATAAGATAATAAATAGATATCTATATATATATAATACATATGATATAATCTATGCTTATGAGATAAAAAGTATAGTATACAGGCACAATGGCTGCAACCTCAGTGTCGTTCTTGCCAAGCATTGAATTGCTGCTGTAAGAGTGGCTGGCACATGGAAATTGACCATGACTTTCAATATCTTTAAATGATATAAATATGCTCTCAAGCATTGCATTGCAGCTGCAAGAGTGGCTACAAAGCAAGGTGCATCATGGCTTATATAGACATGATCTTCTATGTTTCTTAGATTTATACAATAGAAAAATATAGTATAGGTTTAGGTATACAGGCATCATGGCTGCAACCTTAGCGTCGTTGTTGGTAAGCATTGAAATGGCACATGGCAATTGAACATGACTTGCAATATCTTTCAATGGTATGGATTCTGAGGAGTGCTCCACTCCTTCTTCCTCGGCCTCGCTCAGCATGTACCTGGGCAGCACTGATATCAGAAAACTGAATGCAACTTATATGTCTAATTGCAATTGTTTCATGGACACTCTTACAGCGTCTCCACAAGACAGAGCCTAATTTGCAGACACTTTTACAGCGTCTACCCGCAAGATGCAGTGCTGCAACATCTTTTTTTGCCCAGCGGAGTATGGTGTGTCTGTACAATGCGTTGTTCAATGATATTTCAATCACTGACGCTCGGTGATTTGCGCTTGTGGCCACTCATGCCCTTTGGTGCGGCGCCTCTGGCCTCTGGAATAACATGTGAGCAAATCCACCACCTCTGTTTGAACAGCACTTTTGAATCTATCGGACACTTCTACAGCATCCTATGGAAAAATGTGAGCAAATCCCCCACCTATCTTTTTAAATGACATGCCCTTTCTCTGGAAACAAAAGCCCTGCCTTTTTGGCCTCTTTGACTCTTTCCTTTTCCTTGGCCTTCGCGGCCTCAGCTGCCTTCTTTTGCTGCTTCTTCAGTTTCTTTTGTTCCTTCTTCCATTTCAGTTCCTGCCAAAGACTGACGCATGCACACACAGGAGAACAAAGCTGAGTTGAAAAACATGGCTTGACTTCACCAATCGCTGGTCCTCGAGCTTTTCAGCTGTCATTGACAGCTGTGTCCGGAACTCCTGGGCGGTCTGTGCCACTGGGGCTTGATAGATCTTGACTGTAACTGTATCCTGGCCTCACGTCTCATGTGGCTCTGCTCCGACTCCCTGACGCGGACCTGGTAGTTCTTCCAGAGATCCTGATAGGGCAGCAGGTTTCAAAAGACACAAGCAAAGACAGGGCCAAACCTTTCAATCAACAGACTCAACAGACAAAATGCCATTGCAGGCCTGCAACATCTTTGCCCTCTTTTGCTCTTCTGCAGCGTCTTTTTTCCTTGACTCCTGACAACACCACAAAGCACCGCAAAACATTGAAGCATAGTGCCATGACAATGAAGACAAACCCTTGATTTCCAGCCTGTGCATCTGCAAGTCTTTTCTCCAGGTCCTGTCGCACGATGCTATGAACGGTGCGTTATCACAAAAACTTGAACTGGAAGACTTTTCCAGCCTGGATCCTTGCTTCGTATTCTGCCTGACAGACCAAAAAAACAGATGCTTTCAGACCATGGTGGCTGGGGTGTGGATTTCAACATCAAAATGCAGAAGCCAGCACACCTTCGCCGCATTTGCCATCGCGGTCCTCTCCTGTGATGAGCGCATGTTGATGGATTGCGTGCGTGGGATTGAAACTGAGTCCCAATGAAAACCTCATGTTATGATGTGCCATGAGAAAAGTTTCTTCAACACCTCACCACAATCCCTTTTTCTGTGCCTGGTATTGGTTCTTCCAGTAGGCAGCGATGCCCTCTGTGCGCTGGGCGACCGCTTCGATCGCCACCTGGTGTTGCTGCTGTTGCTGCTGCAACGCTTGCTGCAACGCTTGATGCTGCTGCTGCTCCTGCTGCTGCAATTGCTGCTGAAACATTTGCTGCTGCTGAAGCTGATGCAGTTGCATGTCAGCACTGTGCTGCAATTCCTGTTCCTGCAGCAGCGCCTTTGCCTCGTAGAAAGTGGCGCGGGCTTCTTCCTTGGCCACGACAGCTTGGGCCTTTTCCCTTCGCCTTTGCGAAGGACCGTCTCTGTGTCCCCGCCCTGTGGTGCGGGATTGCTGCGCCACCCTTGCCGGTGGCGGTGGAGGCACCGCAGGCAGGCAGGGTGCTGCTGCTTTTGCTGTTGCTGCACCTTTTGCACTCGCTCCTAGTGCTTGTGCTGCTGGTGGCGCTGCTGCTGTTGCTGGTGCTGCTGGTGGTGGTGCTGCTGCTGTTGCTGGTGCCTTGTGTGCTCCTTCTGATCCTTTTGCTGGTGCTGTTGCTGCCTTGTCTGCTCCTTCTGATCCTTTTGCTGGTGGTGGTGTGGCTGCTTTTGCTGCTGCCTTGCGTGCTCCTTCTGATCCTGTTGCTGGTGAGGCTGCCGCCAGGGCTGGTGCCCCCTTCTTCGGAGGGGTCACGGGCGCACGATTCATTGCATTGAATTGGTTCGGAGGTCTGTAGTAGTAGGGCTGCAGGTGCTGTTTCTGTTGTGTTGTGTCTGTGCGTCTGTGGGTGTGTGTGTGGGTGTGTATGTGTCCGTTTTTGTCTGTGTCTGTTTGTTTGTCATTGCTATTAAATCACTGGTATTGATCTGACATCTTGTTTTTTATGTAATGTTTACTTGCATACCGTAATCGTTGACGCTGTAAGAGTGTCTTGTTTTTGTTGACGCTGTAAGAGTGTCCATGGAGTGTCGATGGCATTTTGCTGTTTACATTGCCCTCACTGAGTCAAGATCCGAGAATCACAGCATCACACATTTCAGTTCATTTTCAATGATCACACTCTTACAGCGTGATACCAAGTATACACATCATTATTGTCATGATCACACTCTTACAGCGTGATGTCCGCACCACACACTCTTACAGCGTGTTGACGGTTTCTTCCAGTCCGGCTGAGGTATCGGCTGGAGAGGGTAGGGGCCCAAGTCACCTTGCAACCTCAATGTCGTTCGTGACAAGCTGAGAATTGCCGCTGTAAGAGTGGTTGGAAAACAAAGTGCAACATTGGTATGTTATTGAGATTCATAATATATATATATATGTATGTATGTATGTATGTATGTATGTATGTATATAGATATTTAAATATACCGATAATATAGTATAATATAGGTATTGCATGTTCACAATTGTATTGAATTGGAAGCATACATATATATATATATACCAAAGAAAGAGTAAAAGTAAGGTATTGCATGTTCACTATTGCATTGAATTGGAATGCCGCTGTAAGAGTGGCAGGACAACAACATCCATCATGGGTAGACACATGACTCTCACTGGCATAGGCTCTCTGAGGAGTGCGCCAGCATGTTCTTGAACGTTCGTTGCAGCATGTACCTGGGGGGGCAACAAATACAGCGTCTCTAAAAATATAGCCCCTCTCATATAGATATATATTTATATATATATATACATTTATATATATTTATATATATAATTATATATATTTATATATTTATATCTATATATATATATATATACAAATATGTATAGATATATGTGTAGACACTTTTACAGCGTCTCTAAACATGAATGAAACCCAAATCACATCACGGAATCACACTCTTACAACGTGGGACCAACAACATCAAATTGTGATCGCACTCTTACAGCGCGATGATGGCCGTGTTGTGTGATGTGTCTGTGATTTCCTTAGCTAGGCATGGAAGTGGCTGGGAAGTGGCTGAGCTCTCAAGCCAGGGACCTTGGTGGAGGGGCGGCTGGTCTTGCTGCTGGTGTTGCTGCTGGTGCCATTTTTGCCCCCGCCGCCGCTAGTGCTGCCTTAGCCCTATTATTGCCTGGTTGTGGCAGCTTTGCCTTCTCTTTCTTTGGTGCCATTGACATGACGGTCGTGGCGCAGCGTGTGAGTTGCTTGAAAGTTTGTATGTGTGTTTGTGAGTAGTAGACTGATAGACGGATATTTATTTATGCGAGAGTTATATATTTATTATTTATTATGTAATAAAAATAGAAACATATATATATATATACATATTATGTTTTTAATTGTTGACGCTGAAAGAGTGTTTCTTGTCAAAACCACCATCAAAGTTTGACTTCACTCAGAGCAAAGTCTAGCAGATAAATCACAAATCACAGTCTATGTAAGCATGAAGACGCTCACACTCTTACAGCGTGATGGCATCAGGAGTCAATATCATGATATCATGATCACACTCTTACAGCGTGATGGCCGTGTTTTGTCAGTATCATGATATCATGTTCACACTCTTACAGCATGATGGACATGTTTTGTCAATATCATGACAGCATGATGGTTGCAGTTACCTGAGGCATGGGCTGGCTGAGTCAGGGGCCTTAGTCAAGCGAGGCACAGTGACTTGCATTGCAAAGCGCTGTAAAAGTGCAATGTTCTTTGTGTTGCTTCGCTTTTTGGGGGGGCGCGCTGTAAAAGTGCAAAATGTGGCGCTGTAAAAGTGCAACGTAAAAGACAATATGGCTGTTTTCCCTTGTTTTTTGGGGGCCGCCGAAGTAGTAACCTTCACCAACTGTCGATGTCTCCTGACACGGGTTGTCCCTGTGATCGATGTCTCGTCTACACTCGCACGCATGCGTGTGTGTGTGTGAATGCGTGTGTTTTGTCACATCTTGCATGCTGTGGGGTATGACATGCTTGTCGCTCAAATGTATCAATGCTTGCATGTAGGGTTTGACATGTTGTATCAATTTGCTGTTGCATGGGGTGATAATTTCATGATTTTTTGCTTATTACGCAACTTGCCCCTTGGCAAAAGAGTTTGAAACTCAGACGGCTGTATTCGTGCAACATCTAAAAATGAGAAATCACAGCTCTCAGCGTTGAATGTTGCAAGACATTGGTTTTGACATGTCTTCAGCAATTCTTACAGCGCCCTACTTTAAAAATGTTTCGCAGCAGTGACTCAAGAAGCCACAAAAACGACACTCTTACAGCATCATCCCAGGGGAAAACGACACTCTTACAGCATCGTCCCAGTAGCAAGAAGCAACAAAGACAAGACGACACTCTTACAGCATCGTCCCGCGCACTGCCCCTGAAAGGCAAGTAAGAATGTGCCAGACGCTGAGGATCAAACGCAACAGGTGAACATGATGCATCTTCACGTCGAACCTCAATCGGACGGCGCAGCGCGAAGCACACTGTTGCACTGTATAGCAATGTGAAAGGGGTTTTGAACGCGACCTTTTTTCCTGAGCAGTCATTGGGTCTGCTGTTTAAATTTCCTCATCCTCTTCAGGAATGCTTGGGAGATTCACCTCCTCCTTCTCCTCCTCCTCCTCCTCCGACTCCTCCTCCTCCTCCGACTCCTCCTCCTCCTCCTGGCCGACTGTTGCATGCGGCTCAGCTCCTTTTCCTTTTAGGCCTTTTCCTTTGCCCTTGAACTTGAGGAACTCCTCATACTGCTGCCTGCTGAAGCTGCTGCCTGTGGAAGCTGAGGCATCTCTGTCCTTCTCCTCCACCGTCGTGCCCGTTCCAGCCTCAATGGCCCTCTGGTCGATGACAGCCTTGCCACTTCCACCGCTGCCTCCACCGGCTATTGGGCGGATTTCATGTTCCTCCTCCTCCTCTTCTTTCACATTCTGCTCATCGTCATCCCTGTCTGGGCTGCTCCTTCGCCAGCCGTCATCTCCACCCGCGTCATCACCATCTGAGGGGCATGACATGCTTGTCTATCAATGCTTGCATGCTCTGGGGTATGACATGATGTGCTTTTCGCTCATGTGTATCAATGTTTGCTGCTGCATGGGGGCCGTCATCATCATGGGGGTGATAATTTCATGATGTTTTGCTTGCGCAACTTGCCCCTTGCCAAAGGAGTTTGAAACTCAGACGGCTGGCTGGATTCACAGCTCTCACAATCAACCTTGCATGTTGCAAGACGTTGGTTTTGACATGTCCTCAGCTAGTCTTACAGCACCCTACTTTAAAAACGTTTCACAGCAGTGAGTCAAGAAGCAACAAAAACGACACTCTTACAGCATCATCCCAGGGGAAAACGACACTCTTACAGCATCGTCCCAGTGACGAGAAGCAACAAAGACGACACTCTTACAGCGTCGTCCCGGGTACTGCCTGTGAAAGGCAAGTAAGAATGTGCCAGACGCTGAGGATCAAACACAGCAGGTGAACACGAAGCTGAAGATGCACATCGAACCTCAATCGGACCGCACAGCGCAACGCGCACTGTAGCAATGTGAAAGGGGGTTGTTTGGAACCGGACCTATTTTTCCCTTTTTGCACAAGCTAAGCTAGGTAAAGCGCTGCTGCTGCTGCTGTAAAAGTGGCATTTTGCACTGTCTGTCTGTCTCTCTGTGTGTCTGTGGGTGTTGTGTGTGTGTGCTTTTTTCTTTTATGTATGTATGGGGCGGACCCCCCACCGCCCAAGTAAGCTTCGAGACTGAAAGATTACTTGGGCGGGGTTGGCATGGAACAAGTGCAGCCATATAGTTATGTATATATATATACCATAGACATCTACTAGTTCTATTGGCTAATCAGCAAGCATGGTCACGGAACGGAACGGAGGTAATCATGTCAACCTCCCAATTTGTCACCCTCTCTATGTTGTGTTTGATGTTTCTTCTCCATGTTGGTTTTTGGTGATGACTTTACTATTTGTGATTCTTAGACAGAAAAAGATTGATAAACAAAACTGTGAATATCATAGCTGTAAGACATGTCACAAGTCATTTGAAGAAATAGGTGGGGATCAATCAGTTCATTTTCCGTGGGATGCTGTAAAGAGTGCCCACTATGATTCAAAAGGGTGCTGTTCAAACAGCATTTTGTTTTTGATGTTTATCCTCAATGTTGGTTTTTGGTGATGATATTTCTGTTTATTCTGGGAAAATCAGGAAACAAAAATGTGAAGATTAAAACATTCCACCTTTCACAAATCATTAAAAATACAAAGGTGGGGATCAATGTGATGTATAAGTGTCCGTTGTGCTTCAAAACGGTGCTGTCCAAACAACATGTTGTTTTTGATGTTTTGTCTTTATGTTCAAAAGTCATCTCATACAATTTGCAAAGCAATTTCTCTGATGAATTATACATATTGCAGCGCCTTTTTTTGATTCTTCCGGATGCTGTAGAAAGTATCCATTTTGTTTGTCTGGCACTGATGTAAATACTTGGGTATTATGGAGTTTTAAAGTCTTTAGGCCCTGCTTCTGTTCAACCTGCCACCACAAGGGACTCTGATTTTTTGTGATGCTGCAGCCCATATCGGACAGACTCAGAAGTTGAATAGGGAGGGGCAAGGCGACCAAACAAATACAGTGCTCACTCCTGAACTCTCAGGTCATCTTCATCGTCTTCCGTCGCTCGTCTCAAAAACTAGGCGGACTAAGCTCAGGGGGCATTAGCGCTGTAAAAGTGGTAATGCCCGGACGCTGTAAAAGTGTCCAGACGCTGTAAAAGTGTCTAGCGCTGTAAGAGTGCTGCAATGCGCTGTAACAGTGCAAGGGTTGGACTTGGCGCTGTAAAAGTGCCTGGACCTACAACCTGCAATGCGAGAAGACCAAGAGTCCGGAAGCTTCAAGATCTTTCGCATCAAGTTCAGAGGCGGGGTCAGCGGCAATATCCAGCTATAAAACCTATATAATAAAAGACAGCCCCACCACCCTCCAAATGGCAGCATCAGAGAGATCTGGGTGACATGAATGCACGCCAGCTGCGTCAGATGTGCAAAACTCACAATCTGAAAGTTCGTGGTCGGAAAGATGAAGTTCTGGCCAGATAGATAGATAGATAGACAGACAGATAGATAGATAGATAGGTAAGTAGATGAAAGAGAGAGAGAGAGATCAATAGATAAACACGTACATAGAGAGGTAGGCAGGTAGGTAGATAGACAGAGAAAGAAAGAGAAAGAGAGGAGACCTCAACCACCTTTCGGTCCATCAGTGGCTTCGCTCTGCCATTCGTGATTCACAACGACCAATCTCTCCTACAGGTTTCCTATATTTGAAACTTCCGCCACCGCCTTGTGCGGTACTACTGGCCAGTCACGATGACGATGCATCTGTGCCTCTGACTCATCTGAAACCAGGAGCATTGTTGCCGCCAACAAAAGGCGCCGAGCTGGTTCGCTTAGAGTTTTTGCTTAGATCCTCATTGCATTCCATTCAGTGCAATTGTGAACATGCAATACCTTACTATTACTTTTTCGGTGGTATAATATATATATATACAAATACATTATATATATACATGTTTCCAATCCGATGCAATTGTGAACATGAAATACCTTACTATTACTCTTTCTTTGGTATATATTATATATGTGTAGTATATATATATATGAATCTCAAAAACATACCAATGATGCACTTTGTTTTCCAACCACTCTTACAGCGGCAATTCAATGCTTGTCACGAACGACAGTGAGGTTGCAACGTGACTTGGGCCCCAATCAGCGCCAGCCGATACCTCAGCCGGACTGGAAGAAACCGTAAACACGCTCTAAGAATGTGTGGTGCGGACATCACGCTGTAAGAGTGTGATCATGACAATGATATGTATATATATATACTTGGTATCACGCTGTAAGAGTGTGATCATTGAAAATGATGAGACTGAAATGTGTGATGCTGTGATTCTCGGATCTTGACTCAGTGAGGGCAATGCAAACAGCAAAATGCCATCGACACTCCATGGACACTCTTACAGCGTCAACAAAAACAAGACACTCTTACAGCGTCAACCATTACGGTATGCAAGTAAACATTACATTTATAAAACAAGATGTCAGATCAATACCAGTGATTTAATATCAATGAATCAGTCTACTACTAACCAAGACTTCACACAGACACACGCACAGACACACGCACAGACACACGCACAGACACACAGACACACACAGACACACACAGACACACACAGAGACACACGCAGACACATACACATTCACAGAAAAAAAAACACCCGCGCCAGAGACCTAGCCATGGACCGAGCACCCATTACGCCGCCCAAGCTCCCACCGGTCCCACCGGTCCCGAAGGTGCAAGCAACACCAGCACTCGGGGCCGGTGGGCCCTGGTGGCTCCACGAGGACTTCCCGTTGTTCCGGTGGGCGAGAATGTTCCCAGAAGGGGTGCCGGCCCCACCACTGCCTGCTGCGCCGCCGGACCGAGAAGAAGCCAGCGGCAGCAGCGGCAGACAGGGTCCAGGACACCGGCACAATACGTCACAGATGAAAAGAGAAGCTGAAAGCTACAAGAGACAGGCAGAAAAGGTCCGGCAGTATGAGCTGGTGGTGAACCAACTTGGACAGTTGGTTAACAACCAGCAAGCCCAGGTACAACTGCTGCAAGGCCAGGTGGTCGCAGAGACGCAGAAGGCACAGCTGCTTCAACAGCAGCAGGTGCAGCAACAAGCACAGCTGCAGCAGCAGCACCAAGCAGCGCTGCAGCAACAACAGCAGCTGCACCAGCAGCAGACTCAGCAGATGCAACAGCAACACGCTGCAGAAAGCCAAGAACTGGTGCAGCGACAGCAGGTGCAGCAACAGCAGGTGCAGCAGCAGCTGGAAAAGAAAGTTGCTGAAGAGAAGGAGGTAGGCAAGTACTGGCGAGGCCAATGGGAGGCTGGGAGCGTCAAGAGTTTGTCTTCAATATGTCATATGTCTTCTTTTCCGTGCCCATCAGGATCTTCGGACCCAAGCTGTTGCATGGAAGCGGGCCTACGATGACCAAGCTTCGAACCGCAAGGCCTTTTTGGGACATCTTGAAGATGGTGGGACGCTGTAAAAGTGTCTCTATAGATAAGATGTTGTAAAAGTGTCTCTATAGATGATAAGACGCTGTAAAAGTGTCTCTATATATAGATGATTGTCTCTATATAGAGATGATTGATAAGACGCTGCAAGAGTGTATATATATATATATATATAGATGATTGATAAGACGCTGTAAAAGTGTCTCTATGCATGATAAGACGCTCACAACTAGACATGTCAGTTGCTGCCGCATCAGGAATGCATGATGCTCCTTCAAGAACAATCCCGGGCACGGGAGATGGCCATGATGAGAAGTGAGGCCGGAAAATGCACCAAGCCTTCTTTCATTGGAATGTTCTGCCATCAAGATCTGTCCCAGGACATCAGAGTCCACATGCTCTACATGGGCGGCGAAGTGCAGGACCGGACTCAATCAAGTCAAGCCATGATTTTTTGTCTTCCAATTTTTGGCAGGTCTGGAGGCAGCTCGCCGAAAAGAAGAAGGAGATGAAAGCGGCCAAGAAGGCCAAGAGAAAAAAGGAGGCAGAGGAGGCGAAGAAAAGAGAAGATCAGGCTGCCAAAAAGGCCGGGTGAGATTCAAAAAAGGGACTGATCTTTTGGTTCGGGTGGATGGTCTGCAAATGCTTTTTTTGAGTTGTAGTATTTTCTTTGTTTAAAAAACAGTTACTGTATTCCTGGACAGGCAAAGGGGGCTTCGGCAAAGAGTTCCACCAAGAAGAGGAAAAAAAGCTCTGAGTGATGGAGGAAAAGGAGCTCCGTGGCAGACGACTGATGGCAGATGGCAGAGGGTGGAAAAATGTGGCGCTATATCTGTCACAATTTGATGTTGTCGGACCCGTGCTGTAAGAGTGCGATCGCGATGTCATTCATGTTTAGAGACGCTGTAAAAGTGTCTATAGGACGCTGTAAGAGTGTCCATGAAAGCATCAACTAGACATGTCAGTTGCACTCAGCTGATTCAGACTTAAATGCTGCCCAGGTACAACATCTTGGCTGCAATCTCAGTATCACACTCTTACACATCCGCTGGAGTCACCTTTGGGTCTGACTTGGGTGCAAAAAAAAAAAATAAGCTAATCATTTCTGCAATTGTAGACATTTCTGGATGGCTTAAAGCGCTGTAAAAGTGCAACAACAAGCACATCCTGTGAATCAATGGATGGCTTAAAGCCCTGTAAAAGTGTCTTGTGGCCCAAGTGATTGGTTGCAGGCATGCCACGGTCACCGGTTTCCATGCTATCGTACTGTCCTGATGAATTTGCGGACCAGATGGAAAACTTTCCACCCCTGGTTTTTGGACCAAAAGTGCCAGAATTTTTGGAGGATGATGACACCCAGTGCGAGTCCCTGGAGACCATTGCCTACATTGAATCATCTGCGAAACAGGAAGACAGCAGCAGCGAGACTGGGAAGAAAGAGGAGCCTGCGAACATTGAACAGATGACAACTCGCGAGCTGAGAAAGCTTTGCAAAGAGAAGGGCCTCAAAGTCCGTGGCGTAAAGAAAGATATCTTGATGAGATTGAAGAGACATACGTCCAGTGTTTCCATCAAGAGTCCTGAGTATGTCGGCACCGAGCAGAGTTTCAGTGAGAACGAAGAAAGTGAGGACGGAAGCTTCAATGCAGATCCGGAGTTGGAGACCTCGTCCAGCAGTGGCGGATCAGAGGTGGCATTGACTGCTGAAGCCCTCGAAAGCTTTGAAAGCCATCTGATCGCTGGAGATCGACCTCTGAGGGTGCCTGGCCGCTACACGCCATCGAACAGTGTGGTTGATGATGACGCTTCCGACAGCCAGGGCATCAGTGTGGATTCAGACTTGGATGTGTGTGAGCTCTCCTCAGATTCATCAAGGGCAAGGTCCATAGTTCACGCTATCCAGAAGCGACGGCGTTTGTAGATGGATCCTGTGTGCCATGATGGGGCTGAAAATGAAATGTGAAAAGAGTAGTATGGTCTTGCCGCTGTAAGAGTGGTGAAGAGTAAACCTGTGACTCTGCACCTGTGACTCTGCAACTCTTAGGCCCTCTATGTGACTCTGCAACTCTGCTTTGAGTCTGGGTCCTCAGACGTTGTGTGTTGGACATATTTGAGTGAGCATCTGAGGGTTTGTATCATATAGAATTAGGGTCAAGTCAAGGCACCATTTTTCTTGAACACATTTGCACATATTTTGCAGCACAGGCTCCAAACACCATGGAACTTCGGGTTGGTAGTGACTTTTCTGGGTTAGACACGGCCTTTTGGGCATTGCGTCGACTCGGCATTCCTTTTCGTCATTGCTTCGCCTGCGACTGCGAGAGGGCGTCTTTGAAGGTGCTGAATTACCTTCGTCCAGAGGTCCTTTATGAAGACGTTCGGTCTCGCAACATCTCCGAAATGGCAGAAGTAGATCTCTTCACGTTCGGACCCCCTTGCCAATCTTACAGTCGACAAGGCAATCGTGCTGCAGACAGCGTTGAGCTGGGACAGCTTGGACTGTACAGTGTTGCATACATCTTACACCACAAACCCAGGATCGCTCTGATGGAACAGGTGAAAGACGTGGTGCAGTCAGAGTTTTTTCAATTGGTCCTGAACAAGTTGGCCACAGCCGGGTACAGCTTGTATTCACAAATCTTGAGAACTTACGATTACGGAGTGCCCCAAGCTCGTGAACGGGTCTATTTGGTTGCATTGCTGAATCCAGTTTCAGAGTTTTCTTTCCCAGACCCTGTTCCTTGTTGTTCAGCCAGGGAGTTGATTGACGTGTTGCCGCCAGAGCGATTTCAACTGATCCCTGACCTTGGTCCTGCTGGTGGGGAGACCAGGCAGAGAAACGTTGTGCAACAGCTGCAGCTCTGCATTGAAAGCGGGGTGAACCCCTACGAAATAGAGGTGTTCGTAACCTCGGGCGCTTCCAGCTCAAGAAGCAGTTGGATGGCAGGTCGCATTCAGACTATAACAAGGAGCGAAGCACTTCGCGGCGGTTACTGGTCTACAACCAAGGGGGGCTTCCTAAACCCAACTGAGGTGGCAAGGTTCCAGGGATTTCCGGACAACTTCCTGAATTATTGCAGTTTAGATATCACAGATTCTCAGTTCTGCGCATTGCTGGGTAACGCAATGAGTTTCAATGTGCTCTTGCATCTCCTGCCCAGCCTCCTAAGAGCAAGTGGGATTGTGACCAACCACCAAGCGGACCAGATGATCAGAATAGCCAATGCCCATCACCCAAGAAGGGCATGGGCTTAACCGCTGTGTGCGATGAGTCAAGAAAAATTCTGGGCGAATGAGCATTGTGGGAAGCAAATCAAAAAGATGAATATTATATATAGAAAATGCCAGAGCAAGATATATGAACAGATATTACAAACAGTAATATTATATATATAGAAATGAACGTTGAGGACAGATTCTGCTTTGCTGTCATAATACGTAAACAATTAGTAATAAGAATATTCACATAAACTTACATTCTATGTAATGCAAGTGCATCGTGCTGTAAAAGTGCGATTGTAAAATGCATTGTGCTGTCAAAGCACGTCATAGTGTAAAACGCATCGTGCTGTAAAAGTACGACGCAACAAGCTGTTGTAAAAGTGCGATTGTAAAATACATTGTGCTGTGAAAGTAGACGTCAGAGTGTAAAATGCATCGTGCTGTCAAAGTACGACGCAGCAAGCTGTAAAGTGTTGTGCAGTTTTCTTGCAGTTTCTTCGCCAGTTTCTCAATGAGGCCTTTTGTTCTGGAAGCCTCATTGCAAGGTGTGCGGCTCAGAGAATGTAGTTTCTCAGAGATTCAGTCATGAAACCATGTGCAAGTGAGTGAGTGTCATTGTGGCATCTCTTGTCAATTGCTTTGGCGTATCTGAGTCTGCTATTGCTCGAGTTGGGGTTTCTGGCAACCGCTGGTGTCATTAGGTTGGGTCATCCATTGACACCATGGAGCCAGTGCTTGAGCACTATTGTTCATCGAAGCAATGTCCATGCGGCCGGTTTTCGAAGATCCATCCTTCAATGTATCCCATCATCTCTGATGTAGTCTGCAAGGACCTGCCTTTGGAACTGCTGGGAAGGGCACAGGAATTGGATGGAGAGACATGGCTACACGCGCAAGACTTGGATGGAAACTATGGTGTTGGTTGCTCCATTTGCGCTCAGTTGCTGGCCGAATGTGACAAGGATATCATTGCCAAGTACGGCATCACCTCCACCAGTGGTTTAAAACCTTTCCGTTTGAAGGCACATGCCTGCAGTGCGAACCACCTTGCCGCTGTTAGGCGGCTGCTTGAGCCAACGGATTCGGTGGGGGTGCCTCTAAGTCAAGAAACAGAAGCTCCGCCAGAATCTGTCTTCAAAGCACTGATGGCTCACATTAGGAAAGGTGGCAGCTTAAGAGATGGCCTTCCTGGAGTGGGCCACTTCCGCAAAATCAAAAGTATGACTTTTGTTCTTGCAGAGGCTTTCAGACGTTTGTACCGGCAACATTTGGGGCAATGCTGTTCCATCAACTTGCTGAGGGATGAACGGCACTCTCGTTTGCTGGTGCGTTTCAGGTGTGCCAACTTGCAAGCTGAGAGGAGTATCGGAGTCATTGGCCAGGCAAAAGTGGTGAAATCGACAGCCACCAACCTGACTGAAGCTACCAAGTCTTTGTTCCTGGACTTTTGCACCAAGAACCATGGGGTTCCTTATCACCCGAATCCTTCTGAAGTCATGGCGCTCGACAACGACCTGCTGGAGCACATGTGTGCCTGTGTTCATGCACTGACAGTGGACGCTGCTGGAAATGAAGTAGCTTCGGGAGAAAACATGCGTTCCAGCAAATCTGTCACGGCTGACAATGCAAAAGCTTTCACACCAAATTTGCAAGTGATCATTCGGGACAAGGCTCATGCTTCAAGGAGAATTCTTGAGCGCCCTTGGAATAGCGATGATTATTTGACTTTGGTAGCTCGGGCATTTGTCACAGACCCACAGAGTGTGGCACAGCAGGTTCAGCACAGCTCTGATTTCCAAGAATGGTACAAGGAATGTTGTGAAAAATCAGCTAACAAGGTTGTTGCTAGCAACTTTGGGCACTTGAGAGCAGCCAAACACAGATTTGAATCCTTATGTTCTCCTCTGAGCCGGATTTGCTTGGACTGGGAAGCATGCTTGGCTTTCCTAGTTCGTGTTGCAACAGAACGCTCTGGACAAGCATCTGGCCAGTTTGCTGTGTCAACTTTAGCGTCAATCGATGAAGAGATGATGATTCAGGCAGCATTACTCGCGGATGCATGTGAAGAGTCCATGGTGCTTATCCGTTTCTTTGACGAAGCAGAAGTGGAGAATGCCAAAATTTGCACGAAGGTGGCTGAGTACCTAGGCCGGATTGGGAATCTCTTTGATGAACAATTCGTTTGGTCGGTCGAAGGATACACAAAGGTCACCCTCGACTTTCTGAAGCGGACAACGACATTCATGTCTGGAGGTGGGTTGCGTTCAATTGGAGGGCCCCGTGCAGTGACACCGGCGTTGATGACATCGACCATTCAAAGGATGCAAGCCTGGGTGCTCCTAGCAAAACATGTTGTTGCTGCAGAACACCCTGATTTTGAATTGGTGTCTTCTTTTGCTTGCTTCAACTTGAAAGAGTTTCCAGCCCAGTCAGCCGAAGACTTGAAGGCTCATGGCCGATCCAGTAAATTTGACTTGCACCTGCAGCGTTTGGCAAACTGTTTCAAAGTTGATTGGACCTGCTTGAACCAGTTCTTTGATATCGGAAGCATTGCAAGAACCCACCAACAAGAAAGCGACTGTGACAACCTTGAAGCATGGCAGCAAAGTCTCAAGAAGACAAGCAGTGCCGCAGCTCGATCGCGGCATCCTGTGGACTGTCTTGAACAGGTCTTGGCCGAGTATGCCTGCATGTCTGCATCTGATTCAATTATTGAACGTGACTTCAGCAGAGTGAAGGCATTGCTGGGTGATCGCATTCACACAATGGAGGCCGAAAACCACATTGTTACAATTGCAGCAGCCGTAGACCCTGCAGTGGATTCCCTGGTGCTGTCTATGTCTCCCAAAATTTGGAGAGAGCTGTACCCTGGCTCTCGGAATCGGGAAAAGAAACGGTTCGACAAGGGAGTCACACGTTTTGCTGGTGGGCGTTTGGAGTCACCCGAGAAGACATTGCCTTCAGAGACCATGTGGAAAAAACGTCGGCGGATGGAGGTTGACTCTGCTACTGGGGATGCTCCAGACAAGGTGCCAGCTGCAGTAGAACAAGCTTGGACAGAGGAACATGAAAAGGAGAAAGATTTCAACCACAAGAAAAGAAACATACGCTTATGCGAAGCTTTGGCAAGTGGAGCTGTCTTGCCTGAAGAGCTGACGATCGAACAGGTTGCAGCAGCTTACAACCATTTTCAGGCTGTGGAGACAAACATGCTTCAACGTGAAGCCGGAGAGGCTCGGCTTCAACGAGCGGTGGCTCGAAATTGTCCCTCAGAGGATGATTTGCAAGGTTTGATTTGTTTTTTCTTGGATGATTCCGTCCGAAGCCCAGCCATGGACAGAGCCACAGATCGCAGAGGATGGACCATTTCACCTGACTTCACTGAATCGAAGGTGCTGGTGATGAGCGATCCATCATCCATGAATGACAGTGGCCTGATCACCCTGTCCATATATGCTGGTCTGAAAGGGGCATGGATATGTACCCCGGACATGGTTCTGAACAACCGAGGGTGCTGCCTCAAGATCAAAGAGGCCTTGAGAACGAAACGGAAAATTTATTGTACAGACTTGTTCAAGGCCCACCAACAGGCTGTGATGAATCTGATCAGTGGGTTTGCTTCTCGAAACTTTCAGTTGCTGCAAACACTTGAAGATTTTGCAGTGCAGAAGAACTTAGCAGAGCGGCGCCACTGCTCAGCAGAAGTGATTTGCTTGTTGGAGGAGTCTGAGCGCAGCATCTTCAGCGAGATTAAGCATTGTTTTTCCATTGAAGAATTCAGGGACTTTATTTATCGATTAGACCTGGAAGCATCCTGCCCAGGTTTGTGAGCAACTGCGATGACTAATTATAGAAGTTCCAAGTTTGTATCATAGATAGAAGGTCAAAACTTATATCACATTGAAGCAGTTGCGGACAGCGAAGTTCCAGACAGAGCTCAGTTACTGCTGCAGCCAATTCATTTTGCACAAAATATGTTTGGGAAAATATGTTTGTGCGCTGCTGTAAGAGTGCGCTGTAAGAGTGCATTGTAAGTTTGCACAGTTTTCTATGTAAGCATCTTGTGGCAGTGCGCTGGAAGAGTGCGCTGCTGCTTCTTTGCTCTTCTGAAGTTCACCACACAAAGCCTTCGCTTTGTCAGGCTATGTCTTGCAGCTAGAGCCGCAGCGCTCTCAGACTGAAGAGTTGTGACAATATACAGACAATGCGCTGTAAGAGTGCACTCGCTGCAAGAGTTTGCCTTGTTTTGATTAGTTTTATATGTAAGCATCTTGTGGCAGTGCGCTGGAAGAGTGCGGTGCTGCTTGCTCTTCTGAGGTTCACCACACAAAGCCTTCGCTTTGTCAGGCTATGTCCTGCAGCTAGAGCTGCAGCGCTCTCAGACTGAAGAGTTGTGACAATATACAGACAATGCGCTGTAAGAGTGCACTCGCTGCAAGAGTTTGCCTGGTTTTGATTAGTTTTCTATGTAAGCATCTTGTGGCAGTGCGCTGTAAGAGTGCGCTGCTGCTTCATTCCAAGATCTTGGTGTTATTACTATGGATATATGTATATATATATATGATCCAGCTTTGTTTTTTTGCTAAGTAGTAAGCTTTTGTGTTTATTCTAAGTAGTGTAGTCTAGTTATATATATATATGTATGTGATCCAGCTAAGTAGTAAGCATCTTGTGGCAGGGCGCTGTAAGAGTGCGCTGCTGTTTCATTCCAACAGTGTGGGGTTATAGTCATTATATATATATATATGATCCAGCTCTGATTATTATGCTAAGTAGTAAGCATCTTGTGGCAGTGCGCTGTAAGAGTGCGCTGCTGCTTCATTCCAAGACTGTGGTGTTGCAGTTATGTGATCCAGCTTTCATTACTATGCGAAGTAGTAAGCATCTTGTTGCCCTACACAGCATGCTGAAGTGCAAAGTTACACTGTCTCATGTACCAGCACTCTCACAGCGCTGGGTTCAGGCACTCTTACAGCGCCACAATGACACATGGCAACTATGGCTGTGGAGTTGTTAGTGGGATTTAAGTTGTTAATGGAATTTTATATATATAAGTAAAAATATATTCCTCATTCAGCTTGGTTGTTTGGCTTCCTTTTTCAGTTTGGTGCATTGCGGTACGGCTTTTGCACTTGGTACGCTGTGGTACACTGCGGTACGGCTTTTGCACTTGGTACGCTGTGGTACACTGCAGTACAACTTTTGCACTTGGTACGCTGTGGTACTCTGCGGTACGGCTTTTGCACTTGGTACGATGCGGTACTCTGCGGTACGGCTTTTGCACTTGGTACGCTGTGGTACTCTGCGGTACGGCTTTTGCACCTGGTGTGGTACTCTGCGGTACGGCTTTTGCACTTGGTACGATGCGGTACTCTGCGGTACGGCTTTTGCACTTGGTACGATGCGGTACTCTGCGGTACGGCTTTTGCACTTGGTATCGTACTCTGCAGTACGGCTTTTGCACTTGGTACGATGCGGTACTCTGCGGTACGGCTTTTGCACTTGGTACGATGCGGTACTCTGCGGTACGGCTTTTGCACTTGGTACGCTGTGGTACTCTGCGGTACGGCTTTTGCACTTGGTACGCTGCGGTATGCCTTGCGTGCCCGCAAGAATGGCGCTCGAATAAGCTTTGGCCACAATCGCTTAGTGACACACTCCATCGATGGAGTGTGTCACTAAGGGATTGTGGCCAAAGCTTATTCGAGCGCCATTCTTGCCCACCCCTCATCCTCAGCAGTGTCACTGAGGGGGGGGGTAGAGTACCCCCCCCCAGTGGCTGCTCCCATCGATGGGAAGCGTCACTAACCCCCAAGCACCTGCAGAACAACCCCTTGCAAAAGTCTATTGACGCATGCAGAATCATACTTGTACCTTGGTGACGCTAGGGGTTAGCGACGCTTCCCATCGATGGGAGCAGCCACTGAGGCGGGGGTACTCCACCCCCCGGCTTAGTGACAGTTTTTTTTTTGATCAAGATATTTGGCAAAAACTTATTAGAACGGAACGGTTGCAATGCATGGGGCCACCCATGAGCAACTGCTAAAGACATACCGCAGAGTACCACACCGAGTGCACAAGCCATATACCACATAGCACCACATCGTACCAAGTGCAAAAGCCGTACCGCAGAGTACCACAGCAAGTGCAAAAGCCATACCGCAGAGTACCACAGCGTACCAAGTGCAAAAGCCGTACCGCAGAGTACCGCATCGTACCAAGTGCAAAAGCCGTACCGCAGAGTACCACACCAGGTGCAAAAGCCATACCGCAGAGTACCACAGCGTACCAAGTGCAAAAGCCGTACCGCAGAGTACCACACCAAGTGCAAAAGCCGTACCGCAGAGTACCACAGCGTACCAAGTGCAAAAGCCGTACCGCAGAGTACCGCATCGTACCAAGTGCAAAAGCCGTACCGCAGAGTACCACAGCGTACCAAGTGCAAAAGCCGTACCGCACAGTACCACACCAGGTGCAAAAGCCATACTGCAGAGTACCACACCAAATGCAAAAGCCATATTAAATATACCGCAGAGTACGATACCAAGTGCAAAAGCCATACCGCAGAGTACCACAGCGTACCAAGTGCAAAAGCCGTACCGCAGAGTACCGCATCGTACCAAGTGCAAAAGCCGTACCGCAGAGTACCACAGCGTACCAAGTGCAAAAGCCGTACCGCAGAGTACCGCATCGTACCAAGTGCAAAAGCCGTACCGCAGAGTACCGCATCGTACCAAGTGCAAAAGCCGTACCGCAGAGTACCACAGCGTACCAAGTGCAAAAGCCGTACCGCAGAGTACCACAGTGCAAAAGCCACCGTACCGCAAAAAAAGCCGTACCGCAGAGTACCACACCAAGTGCAAAAGCCGTACCGCAGAGTACCACAGCGTACCAAGTGCAAAAGCCGTACCGCAGAGTACCGCATCGTACCAAGTGCAAAAGCCGTACCGCAGAGTACCGCATCGTACCAAGTGCAAAAGCCGTACCGCAGAGTACCACAGCGTACCAAGTGCAAAAGCCGTACCGCAGAGTACCACAGCGTACCAAGTGCAAAAGCCGTACCGCAGAGTACCACACCAAGTGCAAAAGCCGTACCGCAATGCACCAAGCTGAAAAAGGAAACAAAACAACAAAGCTGAATGAAGAATATGATACATGTATATATATATATAAATATATATATATATATAGTTATATGTATATATATATATATTTGTTTTTATGTATATATATATATACATGTATATATGTATATATAGTGTGTATATATATTGTAAATATATATGTATGTATATAATATATATATATATGTATATATATATATATATGTATATATATATGTATATTTTAATATATATATATGTATATGTATAATATAAATCAATTCCAGTATGACATAAACCCCATTAACAACTCCACTGCCAAGTGTAGTTGCCATGTGTCATTGTGGTGCTGTTGGCCTCTCCAGACCTCAGGGGGCCACCCCAGGGAACCACAACAGGGACAGTGCAATAGCTTATCATTTTGGATTTCTTTTCTTTATTCTTGTCATTTTGATTTCATTTTGCTGTTCATTTTGCATTTAACCGCTTTTTCGATCTGCAAATCGGTTTGCAGGGTACCACAGCGTATCGAGTGCACAATGTGTATCCTCCTGTAGCACAGCGTATCAATCACAGAAAGCGCATTGCTGCGCACCACAGCGTATCGAGTGCACAATGTGCATCGTCCTGTAGCACAGCGTATCAAGCAAAGAAAGACATTGCTATGATGGTATGACATCGAAGTGTCAACAACAGAAAATATCAAAAACCACTAACGAATAGGAAAAAACACTGACGAAAAAAACATCAAAACAAGAGCACAAAGAGTAGCTTTAAAATAGATTAAAATAGTAGGAAGAAATTAAGTTTTTTTAAACATAAACACACAGCGTCGCAATATCAGCATTAAACAACGTTCAAAGATATTGGGAAAAACAAAGTATTAACATAACATAAAACCTAAACGAAAAAACAAATAAAATATTTGCTGTGACATTGATGTGGCCTTGAAAAAATTGAAAACCGAGCCTTGCACTGAGTCATTGAAGTGTCTGACAATGATTCACATGTTGATGGTATGCAACGACGTGCGCCTTCTGACCATTTGAGACTCTTGCCACAGCGTTTTGGAGCAAAGATCCAGGCGATTCGATTTTAGATTCAGATCATCATGGCTCCCCGGAAGAAGTCAGCTGCCCACGCTGTATCTCCGGAGGAGCCGCAATTCGCGAATCCAAACCAGGATTGGCATGTGGAGATTCAAGCAGCTTTGGACAAGATTCAAGGCTACTATGGCGCCGACTTTGACAAAGCCCCTCCATTGTCAGTTGAAGAAGGGTTCCAAGCTCCTGTGGATTTGGAACTTGTGGAGGAGAGATTGGATTCTGCTGAGTGGTCGGAGCCAATTCTGGCCAGTGGTGGGGTCAATGCACTTTGGGCATCACCCATGACATCCATGACCCCAAATGTCACGATCAACCAGAAGGCGCTCAAGTCTTTCATGGAGAACTTTTGGCCAGCGGGGATGGTCCGGCCTCTCACTGAGCCTGTTGACTTCAGGGCAGTGCGAGGACCTGGAGGCATGCAGCGCTTGTCGCCTGAGGAGCCAGTTCAGGCGCTTGTCTTGAAGGTTGCTTCGCGCATTGAGGCTGAAGCCGACGAAGAAGAGTTGGAAAAATGGAGGAAGTGTTTGCTTAGCTGTCCTGGAAGATTTGTGCGGGCCGAAGCTTGGGAAGACCAATATTTCTGGTCTGTGAACAGCCGCAGGAGAACAAGTGACTTGTCAAAATCAGTCACCCATCTATGCAGCCAAATCGTGAGCGACATTTGGATGTTCAAAAGAAGGAGGGAAGCTGCTCACAACAGGACTTTCACAGCCCAAGAGATCGCTGACGCTTATTCCGAGCACATGGTTGACACTCGTGGGGACGAGGAACCCCGCAGCGATGTCAAGATCGTCGAAAGGGCCCTGACAGTGTATGACAAGGTCCTTGGCATCCCATCTGTGCGGAGATTGATCGAAAAGAGTGAGCATTTCCATGGTGTGAAAAGCCCTTGGAATTCAATCAACAAACTGATTGAAGTGCATTACAAGTGCAAAACAGCTGCCAAAGTGGAATGGTTCTTCATGTGCACCGACCTTGGTCTGGAGTTGGGGCAAATCGAGATTGGTGATCTGAGCGTCAACAAGTTAAAGGGGACAGCTGGAAAAACTGGCATGGCAGACCTGATCCTGTTCAAGAAGGGCATAAAAGACTTCTTTCTTACTCGCTTCCTGGATGTTCGGAACTTCAAAGCGGACCAGAAAGAGTTCATGAGAGAAGCGTTCAAGGACCAGGAGGCCTACATGTCAAAGCTCTTGCATGCAGACAGAACTTTGATGAGCTCTTGGGGTGGGGCTGCCAGCAAAACCCTTGACATGATTGAAAACACTTGCTATTCCTTCGATGGCAGTGAAGGCTCCACAATCAAGACAGGAATCAAGCAAGGGAAGACAGCGCAGGAGATTGTCGAGGACTACAACCCATGGAAAACTATGATCGAGGAAATTGATGCAGCTTTGGCTGTTGAGAGCTCTGCCATGAAGATTGAGCCAGAGAGCTCAGCTACAGCTACTCCAACGCAAACTGCATCCGTTGGCTCGACTGAGGCTAAGGATTCCAAATTTGTTTTGGCTGCAGATGAAGGCATCAACCTTGACACAGTTGAAGAATCATGGAGCAATTTTGTGGACAGGCAGATCTCCAAGTATGTGGCTCTTGTTGTCGAGAAGGGCTTGTCTCAGGGACAGCTTGCCAAAGAGCTGCAGAAATCCACCCTTGCGAAGATCGATGGGTCTTCTGCAGGAAATGTGTGCATTGTCTTCGACGCCAACCTGTTTGGGGAATCCATCACCGCCCCTCACATTCGTGCCTGTCCTCTGCAAAACACAGTAGTCTCCAAGCTCTGGAAAGCTGTGCAGGAGACCCGTGCCTCAAGTGAGCCAGGCATTGTGAAACCTAATGACGTGGTGATCCTCTTGGACGGTGGGAAGAAGAATGCCAACAACATGCTCAGCTGCTTTGGCTTGTCCGCGAAGGAGCGAAGCACTATCGACAAAGGACGAAAACCCAAGGATGGGAAAACCATGGCCAGGCAGATCATGGTGTTCTTTACTGAGGAAAGCGTTCAAGCGAGGAAGTGGAGGAAGAAAAACAGGAATGATCCCTTGAACTGCTGCCAGATCGCCCATGTGTTCTACAATGGAACTACCCAGATCAATGTCAGGGATCACAAGCATTTCAACAAAGCATCCAACATGAGCAACACTCTGGGCCCAATCTCCTTGCAGCCATTCTCCATGCTTCCAAAGATGACTGTGGGCCAGAAGAAGGAGTTCTGGGCCAGTCGCCGTCGAGCTGTTGGAGGAAAGACCGCTGAGGATGCTGAAGATGACGATGGAAGTGGAGAAGAAGCTGAAGAGGACGACGAAGAGATGGAGGACGTGAAGGAAGTGGATGGCATTGTCGTCTCAGCTGTCGGTGGTGGCCGTGGCAGCCAAGGAGTTCCAAATGATGCCGTCCAACCCATTTGCTTCCAACAGCTGCCAAGGATTGTGACAGACTCTCTGGTCCATGCTTTCTGGGGCCTCTCTGTCATTGACCTTTCGCCTGGGGCAGGAGAGCTGTGCTGCGACACTGTCATGAGCTCCACTGGGTACTTGGGCATTTGCCATTCCCAATTCCAGAAAGACTTCATCATGACAAAGTTGAAGAAGGAAATGCTGGCAGCCATGGCCAAGCCTGATTCGAAGATGCAGCTGGGTATTAGAGGTTTTGTCATGTTTTTCTGTGCAGACGTTGTTGTCAGACACAAAAATAGATGTGTTACAGTAGATTTTCTGGTGTTGTGTGCCCTTGTTAGGTACTCGGCAGCCTATGCCCAGACCTTGAAGCGCTCCGCTGACACAGAGGGCGGCGGCGATGCCAAGAAGCCCAAGCTTCCTGCGCCCACACCGGTTAAGGCCAAGTCAGAAGCAAAGCCGAAGCCAGAGGCTGGAGCAAAGTCGAACCCGAAAGCAGAGGCTGGAGGCAAGGCGAAGCCTAAGCCCAAGCCAAAGTCTGGAGGAGCCTCAGATCTGAGCGACAAGTTGAAGGAGATGTTGGCCAAAGCTTCCGGTGGTGGTGGTGGAGGAGGGGCAGCATGAGCTTTTCAATGTGCTCTTGGATCTCCTGCCTACCAAGAGTGGGCTTGTGACCAACCACCAAGCCGACCAGATTTTTCTGAATGGTGACATGCACCGATGGCATCGTCTCATTTTTCGACCTAGTGCTGAGGAGTTGTAGCCTTAATGTTTGCTCGGAACAAAGAGTTCATTGCAAGATCACTTGCGTGTTGTGTTGAATACTGAGACTGTGACAGAATAGTAGTCCAAGTTGTTTCAGGCCAGGATATAACACATCTTTGATCCGAGGGAGGCGATTCACTTGGAAAGGGGAATTGCGAAAGAGGAATTCTTCTGTGCGCTAGCATCATCGGAGTGAAAGACAACATCAACTGAATAAAGTAATATTCAGAACCCTTTGCTTTTCCCTGGCATCTTCAGCTCTGGTCGACGAGCGATGACGATTTTGTACAGATTGCCTCAACCTGCAGTCATGTGACTAGCTTCTTCGGTACGAACCGTCCGCGTGTGTGACAACAGGGGCTGCTGTACTCAGGGTGCAAGTTCTTTGTGCCAACTTCAATGGAAGACTTCAGCCACCTCGTGATACTCTTTGGGCTTGCGCGCCAGTGAGGTTTGTGGCAATGTTTTTACTACAGCCGCCAGCTTAGTCAGATGAAGTTGTCAACTTCTGCAAGTATGTAAGAACAATTTCTCTTACTTCTGTTGGGAAACAGGGCTGCTGTAAGAGTGGCTCAGCCTTCATTTTGCTTGTAGTTCCGATGCAACAATACAAGCTTCTTTTGTAAAGAAAACAGAGATGATATAAGAGTGGCTCAGTCTTTGTTTAACGATACTTTTACAGCATTTTTGGAAGTTATGCAATTTTTTGTTTTGCAGTTTTGTGGTAAAACTTCATGAGAAATGTCTGGGGCCCGGACACAGCTTCTACCTGGCCAAGGCTGAACTTCCTGTCACTGTCCGGCGCCTGATGCACATGCCGTGCAGAATCATGGATGTAAACACCTTGCCGCTGTAAGAGTGGCCTTAAAGCATCTTAAAGCTTGGGATCTTGCCCGTGTGACCCATTTGAGTCTAGGGAAAAAATGGAGCTGATGAAGCGACGCCCCATTTGACGCAGTTCAGAGTCAGATTCACCCAGTAGCGCTGCTGTAAGAGTGGCATAAACCCCAATGGAATTCAACACCCAGTCCTTTGCAGCATTTTTGGAAATTATGCAGTTTTAGTTGGGGATCCCAACTGTGAGGTGCCAGGGCTGAATCTTCTGAAGCTGTCCAGCCCGCCGGCGCCTGAAGTACCTGCTGTTCAGAATCATAGAATCACAGGTGTAAGTTGATGTCATCTGGTAGTGCTGCCGCTGTAAGAGTGGCTTAAAGCATGTGATGTTGCTGCTGTAAGAGTGGCTTGTGGTGTTGCCGCTGCAAGAGTGGCCTAAATACGTCTTATATACTGCACGGAAAAAGGGATACTCTTACAGCATCCCTATGGAAAAACGGATACTCTTACAGCATCCCTTTGGAAAATGGATATCTTTGCCAAATCACAGTTGATGTTTCTTTGGATGTTTCTGTGGACGTTCGATTGGGTTTTCATTGCGCAGCATTTTCGGCCCTAATTCGTTTTTGCAGTTTTTGCTTTCCTAGTCGCAAGACATTCTACCAATTTGTCGTCATGGACCAGACGTTCAGCCAATGCGAGACTTTCATCAAGCTCTACCTGGACTTGAAGCGTGAGAGTGGCTACTTGAATTCTTTGTTTGGTCGCTACAAGACGCAGCACATGCAGGCGGCAAGTCCGAAAAAATTCGCAAAGATGTGGCATGACAGATGGCACGAACTTGAACAGCTGCTTGACTCAAAATTTGAGGGTGATTCAAATTTCATGGGCATGATTGATAATGACTTTGATGTGTGTCCTGGCATGTCAATTTCTGGGGGATGATTTTCATGGGCATGAAGCCAAACCAGTGAGACCCAAACTAACCAAGGTCGGCCCAAAAAATTCGACAAGTTGGCTCCAATCAGGCAAGGGTCGAGGGCCTCCGCACCATCATAAAAGGACTGGACGAGCACAACATTGTTTCCATGAACAATGGTGCCGCTTTCAGTGAAGGCTTTATGGCGTGGGACCTTTGGTATTGACTTAAGTGATTGATTTTTCATGTTTTCTGTTGCTGGTCATGTGTTTGGTTGATAGAACCTTTTTACTTTTTACCCAATTTTTGTCCCCGATAGAATTGAGGTCTATTATTCCCATCGGGATTCCGACCACGAACTGATTGAGAGGTTGAATGAGTTCATCTATCACTATTGGCTAGTGAAAATGCACGGCAATAAGGACGAGGCGATCCCTTCTACCCTAGAAGATGTGTGCCTTGGCAGTGACTGTTTTGGCATGTTTTGGCTGACATGTTTTTGTTTTTTTTTCAAATTTATGGCATGAAAAAATGTCATTTATGACATTTTCAAATTTTTGGTGTCTCAGACTTTCAAAGTCAGGATCAACTATGCCTCGTACCATTTGCTGCCGCATGAGATGGACCAACTAGACTGGGCATTTCGCCTATGCCAGGCGGATCGGAATGGCCAGAATTGAATGGCCACAATTTAATTGAAGTGTCCAGCGGTTCTCAACCATTTGTGCTACCTGGCCACTGGTCATTTACATTTATATAATTCAAACAATAAAATCACTCAATGTCATTGGAACCCGGAATTGGTGGCACTCATGGTTTACTTCAAATTTGCGAGGATTTGCAGTTGAAGTGTACAGCGGTGGTTCTCAACCATTTGTGCTACCTGGCCACTGGTCATTTACATTTATATAATTCAAACATTAAAATCACTCAATGTCATTGGAACCCGGAATTGGTGGCACTCACGAGTGAGAAGCAGCCAGATGTCGGTCATAGCGCAAAATTTAAGTTACCATGAACACATGGAGTACTTTGAGTACTAATACCCATTGTTTGTCTACTACTAAGTACCCATTCAATGGGTTGCATCTGCTGAAAAACAACTTGAATAGACTTGTAACAATTTTTCTGTCCTACTACTAGTACTCAGGTACTCCATGGAATGGCCTGGTGTCACCCAGGGACGGAATATGACGGAATCCCCGTGTGGGCAAAAAAAACATGTAGTGTGTCAGCTTGCCCGGGCCTTGCTGCTGTAAGAGCGGCGGCCTAAAGCTTGGGTTCTTGCCGCTGTAAGAGTGGGTCTTGCCACTGAAATGCATTCCAAGTTTGCAATTTTTGTTTGCCGCCCAGGACCTTTTTTCTGCTGAGATTGCAGCCTCTCTTTGAGGCCCACGATGGCACGGCAGTCAGTGTTTGTTAGAGTTGTTTTTTTTTCAGATCATGGCTGCATCCACACACATACAATATATATATATATAAAAATATATATATACACACACACCGTTACACCCCTCTGGCGCCTGAAGTACCTGCTGTTCAGAATCATAGAATCATAGCTGTAAGTTGATGTCAGCTGGTAGCGCTGCCGCTGTAAGAGTGGCTAAAAGCGTGTGATGTTGCTGCTGTAAGAGTGGCTTGTGGTGTTGCTGCTGCAAGAGTGGCCTAAATACGTCTTATATACTGCACGGAAAAAGGGATACTCTTACAGCATCCCTATGGAAAAACGGATACTCTTACAGCATCCCTTTGGAAAATGGATATCTTTGCCAAATCACAGTTGATGTTTCTTTGGATGTTTCTGTGGACGTTCGATTGGGTTTTCATTGCGCAGCATTTTCGGCCCTAATTCGTTTTTGCAGTTTTTGCTTTCCTAGTCGCAAGACATTCTACCAATTTGTCGTCATGGACCAGACGTTCAGCCAATGCGAGACTTTCATCAAGCTCTACCTGGACTTGAAGCGTGAGAGTGGCTACTTGAATTCTTTGTTTGGTCGCTACAAGACGCAGCACATGCAGGCGGCAAGTCCGAAAAAATTCGCAAAGATGTGGCATGACAGATGGCACGAACTTGAACAGCTGCTTGACTCAAAATTTGAGGGTGATTCAAATTTCATGGGCATGATTGATAATGACTTTGATGTGTGTCCTGGCATGTCAATTTCTGGGGGATGATTTTCATGGGCATGAAGCCAAACCAGTGAGACCCAAACTAACCAAGGTCGGCCCAAAAAATTCGACAAGTTGGCTCCAATCAGGCAAGGGTCGAGGGCCTCCGCACCATCATAAAGGGACTGGACGAGCACAACATTGTTTCCATGAACAATGGTGCCGCTTTCAGTGAAGGCTTTATGGCGTGGGACCTTTGGTATTGACTTAAGTGATTGATTTTTCATGTTTTCTGTTGCTGGTCATGTGTTTGGTTGATAGAACCTTTTTACTTTTTACCCAATTTTTGTCCCCGATAGAATTGAGGTCTATTATTCCCATCGGGATTCCGACCACGAACTGATTGAGAGGTTGAATGAGTTCATCTATCACTATTGGCTAGTGAAAATGCACGGCAATAAGGACGAGGCGATCCCTTCTACCCTAGAAGATGTGTGCCTTGGCAGTGACTGTTTTGGCATGTTTTGGCTGACATGTTTTTGTTTTTTTTCAAATTTATGGCATGAAAAAATGTCATTTATGACATTTTCAAATTTTTGGTGTCTCAGACTTTCAAAGTCAGGATCAACTATGCCTCGTACCATTTGCTGCCGCATGAGATGGACCAACTAGACTGGGCATTTCGCCTATGCCAGGCGGATCGGAATGGCCAGAATTGAATGGCCACAATTTAATTGAAGTGTCCAGCGGTTCTCAACCATTTGTGCTACCTGGCCACTGGTCATTTACATTTATATAATTCAAACAATAAAATCACTCAATGTCATTGGAACCCGGAATTGGTGGCACTCATGGTTTACTTCAAATTTGCGAGGATTTGCAGTTGAAGTGTACAGCGGCGGTTCTCAACCATTTGTGCTACCTGGCCACTGGTCATTTACATTTAATTCAAACAATAAAATCACTCAATGTCATTGGAACCCGGAATTGGTGGCACTCATGGTTTACTTCAAATTTGCGAGGATTTGCAGTTGAAGTGTACAGCGGCGGTTCTCAACCATTTGTGCTACCTGGCCATTGGTCATTTACATGTAGTTCAAACAAAATCACTCATTGGAACCCGGAATTGGTGGCACTCATCATGGGAACCTGGAATCGGTGTGACATCCAAACATGGTTTGTCAAACCAATTTAACAGCATTGGAACAGCCAAATCGGCCCCCTGGAGTTGACCTGAAGGTCTCAATGGCCAAGACGGCCCCCGGATTTGACGATTTGAAATGGTGGATGTGGCTACTTAAACTTGATGTGGCTACTTAAACTTGATGCACCTGAGCTCCAGCACCCTGGCCTTCACTGACGTGTCCAGTGGTTCTCAACCATTTGTGCTACCTGGCCACTGGTCATTTACATTTAATTCAAACAATAAAATCACTCAATGTCATTGGAACCCGGAATTGGTGGCACTCATGGTTTACTTCAAATTTGCGAGGATTTGCAGTTGAAGTGTACAGCGGCGGTTCTCAACCATTTGTGCTACCTGGCCATTGGTCATTTACATGTAGTTCAAACAAAATCACTCATTGGAACCCGGAATTGGTGGCACTCATCATGGGAACCTGGAATCGGTGTGACATCCAAACATGGTTTGTCAAACCAATTTAACAGCATTGGAACAGCCAAATCGGCCCCCTGGAGTTGACCTGAAGGTCTCAATGGCCAAGACGGCCCCCGGATTTGACGATTTGAAATGAGAAAGAGTGGATGTGGCTACTTAAACTTGATGTGGTTACTTAAACTTGATGCACCTGAGCTCCAGCACCCTGGCCTTCACTACTATTGAAGGTCCGTTGCAAGAGGACTGGGGGAAGACGGAAACCGAAGAAAACCAAAGGAAATGCTGTGACACAAACAAAGACGCTGTAAAAGTGTCGCAAACATTTCAGGGTCGTCCAAAAGCTCCATTTGATATCATTCAGAAAATCACTTTTAACTGTTGGAATTTAGCTCAATTTTTCTGTAGCAGCCTAGACTATTGTCTTGTATAGTGACCCAATGAAACGCACTTTCTTCAACACATGTAAATACTGAAGTCAATTACGCGCTCCGGAGCGTGTAATCATGACGTGCTCGGGAGCGCGTAATCCATTCAAACAAAGTTCAAAGCCATGTAGTACCAGCCTAAACTCCAACTCCATGTCCATGCTGGGCTTGAATTGCCTGTTCACCAGGGACGCAATTGCCTGTTCACCAGGGACCTTGCTTGCAGTGTGGAACAAAAACATGCAGTGTGTCAGCTTGCCCAGGCCTTGCTGCTGTAAGAGTGGCGGCCTAAAAGCTTGGGTTCTTGCCGCTGTAAGAGTGGTTTTAAAAATTGGGGTCTTGCCACTGTAATACATTCCCATTTTGCAATTTTGGTTTGCCGCAGGACCTTTTTTCTGCTGAGATTGTGGCCTCTCTTTGAGGGAAGATGGCACGGCAGTCAGTGTTTGAAAGTGCAGCGTGAAATGGTGACAACTGTTAGATTTTTTTTTCTGATCATGGCTACATCCACACACACAGTATATATATATACACCATTACACCCCTCTGTACTAAGTCACATGCTCTCTAACAGTCGTCCTTTGACTTTGTCAAACTCTTCATTGGAGAGTTTGCCCGACGAATGCCATTCGATGACATCCTTCAGGGAACAGCCTTGCAGGATACTTTCCGGTTGACTGACTTTCCTTTTCTTTTCTTGCTCGCAATTCTGCTTTCCAGTGATCCTCTTTCTTTCCTCCACTGGTTGGGATTTTGGCTGCTGCAGCATGTCGCTCAGCACCCCGATTTGCCTAGCCCTCTCTTTCAATAGGTACTGATGCACATGAGCCGTAGTCAAACGGCCATAGGCCAAGTGGGTTTTGATCGATGACTTGGCGTGCCGGGCATACTCCATGCTCATTGACAGAGAAATACCTTCACCCATCATCAAAGTGATCTTGGTAGCTCTGCCTGAATGCGTCCGAAGCTGTTCCCACTTGGCTGCTGACGATGGGTATGCCGCGCAAAACTTTTTTGCAAGTGCCCGCACAGCTGCCCACACCGCATGATAGCACAGGTGGTCGCGTTGCACCTTCGTCTCGTTGTATGTTGCCCTGGCTACAAAAAGCCGTCCTTTTTCAGGGATTTGATAGATTTCCCGAACGTCTTTTGCCCCGTTCTGGTTGAGAACTATCCTGCGGACAGACGTTACACCTTGGGAAATCCATGTTCGGAGAAGTTGGACCTGTTCTGGCATGATTGGAACTTGTCCTGGTGATTTCCCTCGTCCTTTCTCCTTGGGGATGTTGAGCCTAGGGGGAGTCATGTCCAACATCAAGTCAGATCGACGCAGCATTGCTGCTTCTCCTGCCCGTAGTGCAAACATACCTGTCAGCATGATGAGGACGTACATCCGTGGCCCTCTCTCCTTCAGGACAAATTGTGTCCAGGCATGCCAATCCTCGGAAGTGAGTGCCACAGCTTGTCCAAGAGTCTTCTTGGGCTGACGCTTAGGCGCGCCATCGCACCCCAACGAGCACATCAGTAGAATCACCGCCAGCAGAATGCGAGGCATAGTCTAACTTTCACACTGCCAGTCAAAGAAATACTGTCAATCTCTTGAACCTGAAAGGGCCAAAGCGTCCAAGTAATGTTCCGTGACCATGCTTGCTGCACTTGTTCCATGCCAACCCCGCCCAAGTAATCTTTCAGTCTCGAAGCTTACTTGGGCGGTGGGGGGTCCGCCCCATACATACATAAAAGAAAAAAGCACACACACAACACCCACAGACACACAGAGAGACAGACAGACAGTGCAAAATGCCACTTTTACAGCAGCAGCAGCAGCGCTTTACCTAGCTTAGCTTGTGCAAAAAGGGAAAAATAGGTCCGGTTCCAAACAACCCCCTTTCACATTGCTACAGTGCGCGTTGCGCTGTGCGGTCCGATTGAGGTTCGATGTGCATCTTCAGCTTCGTGTTCACCTGCTGTGTTTGATCCTCAGCGTCTGGCACATTCTTACTTGCCTTTCACAGGCAGTACCCGGGACGACGCTGTAAGAGTGTCGTCTTTGTCGCTTCTCGTCACTGGGACGATGCTGTAAGAGTGTCGTTTTCCCCTGGGATGATGCTGTAAGAGTGTCGTTTTTGTTGCTTCTTGACTCACTGCTGTGAAACGTTTTTAAAGTAGGGTGCTGTAAGACTAGCTGAGGACATGTCAAAACCAACGTCTTGCAACATGCAAGGTTGATTGTGAGAGCTGTGAATCCAGCCAGCCGTCTGAGTTTCAAACTCCTTTGGCAAGGGGCAAGTTGCGCAAGCAAAACATCATGAAATTATCACCCCCATGATGATGACGGCCCCCATGCAGCAGCAAACATTGATACACATGAGCGAAAAGCACATCATGTCATACCCCAGAGCATGCAAGCATTGATAGACAAGCATGTCATGCCCCTCAGATGGTGGTGACGCGGGTGGAGATGACGGCTGGCGAAGGAGCAGCCCAGACAGGGATGACGATGAGCAGAATGTGAAAGAAGAGGAGGAGGAACATGAAATCCGCCCAATAGCCGGTGGAGGCTGGCCAGAGGGAAGGTCGTCGCAAGCACCCTGCGTCGATCTTCCCTCTGACCTGCACGGACTGGATTCTGGAGTGGCGTTTTGAGCCATGACGCGGAGTGGATCCAAACGGATTTATGTCTGACTTGAAACAAGCGTTTTGCACTGCAGTCACCTTCTTCGGACTCCTCTTCGGCGTCCCAAGTGTCATCCACTCATAATTTATGGGTGGATGACACGTGGGGCGCGGAGGAAGAGCCCGAAGCAGGTGAACAGGGGGCAATTGCCTTGTCAATTTTGTGAACCTCTGCCTCAGCTGATCTCAGAATGAGCAGCAGTTGGAAGTGGAACGGGCACGACGGTGGAGGAGAAGGACAGATGAGGAGTTCCTCAAGTTCAAGGGCAAAGGAAAAGGCCTAAAAGGAAAAGGAGCTGAGCCGCATGCAACAGTCGGCCAGGAGGAGGAGGAGGAGGAGGTGAATCTCCCAAGCATTCCTGAAGAGGAGGAGGAAACTTAAACAGCAGACCCAATGACTGCTCAGGAAAAAAGGTCGCGTTCAAAACCCCTTTCACATTGCTATACAGTGCAACAGTGTGCTTCGCGCTGCGCCGTCCGATTGAGGTTCGACGTGAAGATGCATCATGTTCACCTGTTTTGTTTGATCCTCAGCGTCTGGCACATTCTTACTTGCCTTTCAGGGGCAGTGCGCGGGACGATGCTGTAAGAGTGTCGTTTTTGTGGCTTCTTGAGTCACTGCTGCGAAACATTTTTAAAGTAGGGCGCTGTAAGAATTGCTGAAGACATGTCAAAACCAATGTCTTGCAACATTCAACGCTGAGAGCTGTGATTTCTCATTTTTAGATGTCATACCCCACAGCATGCAAGATGTGACAGAACACACGCATTCACACACACACACACACGCATGCGTGCGAGTGTCGACGAGACATCGATCACAGGGACAACCCGTGTCAGTCAGGAGACATCGACAGTTGGTGAAGGTTACTACTTCGGCGGCCCCCAAAAAACAAGGGAAAACAGCCATATTGTCTTTTACGTTGCACTTTTACAGCGCCACATTTTGCACTTTTACAGCGCGCCCCCCCAAAAAGCGAAGCAACACAAAGAACATTGCACTTTTACAGCGCTTTGCAATGCAAGTCACTGTGCCTCGCTTGACTAAGGCCCCTGACTCAGCCAGCCCATGCCTCAGGTAACTGCAACCATCATGCTGTCATGATATTGACAAAACATGTCCATCATGCTGTAAGAGTGTGATCATGATATCATGATACTGACAAAACACGGCCATCACGCTGTAAGAGTGTGATCATGATATCATGATATTGACTCCTGATGCCATCACGCTGTAAGAGTGTGAGCGTCTTCATGCTTACATAGACTGTGATTTGTGATTTATCTGCTAGACTTTGCTCTGAGTGAAGTCAAACTTTGATGGTGGTTTTGACAAGAAACACTCTTTCAGCGTCAACAATTAAAAACATAATATGTATATATATATATGTTTCTATTTTTATTACATAATAAATAATAAATATATAACTCTCGCATAAATAAATATCCGTCTATCAGTCTACTACTCACAAACACACATACAAACTTTCAAGCAACTCACACGCTGCGCCACGACCGTCATGTCAATGGCACCAAAGAAAGAGAAGGCAAAGCTGCCACAACCAGGCAATAATAGGGCTAAGGCAGCACTAGCGGCGGCGGGGGCAAAAATGGCACCAGCAGCAACACCAGCAGCAAGACCAGCCGCCCCTCCACCAAGGTCCCTGGCTTGAGAGCTCAGCCACTTCCCAGCCACTTCCATGCCTAGCTAAGGAAATCACAGACACATCACACAACACGGCCATCATCGCGCTGTAAGAGTGCGATCACAATTTGATGTTGTTGGTCCCACGTTGTAAGAGTGTGATTCCGTGATGTGATTTGGGTTTCATTCATGTTTAGAGACGCTGTAAAAGTGTCTACACATATATCTATACATATTTGTATATATATATATATAAATATAAATATATAAATATATATAATTATATATATATAAATATATATATATATATATAAATGTATATAGATATATATATATATCTATATGAGAGGGGCTATATTTTTAGAGACGCTGTATTTGTTGCCCCCCCAGGTACATGCTGCAACGAACGTTCAAGAACATGCTGGCGCACTCCTCAGAGAGCCTATGCCAGTGAGAGTCATGTGTCTACCCATGATGGATGTTGTTGTCCTGCCACTCTTACAGCGGCATTCCAATTCAATGCAATAGTGAACATGCAATACCTTACTTCTACTCTTTCTTTGGTATATATATATATATATATATTTATTTATATATATGTATGCTTCCAATTCAATACAATTGTGAACATGCAATACCTATATTATACTATATTATCGGTATATTTAAATATCTATACATACATACATACATACATACATACATACATACATATATATATATATTATGAATCTCAATAACATACCAATGTTGCACTTTGTTTTCCAACCACTCTTACAGCGGCAATTCTCAGCTTGTCACGAACGACATTGAGGTTGCAAGGTGACTTGGGCCCCTACCCTCTCCAGCCGATACCTCAGCCGGACTGGAAGAAACCGTCAACACGCTGTAAGAGTGTGTGGTGCGGACATCACGCTGTAAGAGTGTGATCATGACAATAATGATGTGTATACTTGGTATCACGCTGTAAGAGTGTGATCATTGAAAATGAACTGAAATGTGTGATGCTGTGATTCTCGGATCTTGACTCAGTGAGGGCAATGTAAACAGCAAAATGCCATCGACACTCCATGGACACTCTTACAGCGTCAACAAAAACAAGACACTCTTACAGCGTCAACGATTACGGTATGCAAGTAAACATTACATAAAAAACAAGATGTCAGATCAATACCAGTGATTTAATAGCAATGACAAACAAACAGACACAGACAAAAACGGACACATACACACCCACACACACACCCACAGACGCACAGACACAACACAACAGAAACAGCACCTGCAGCCCTACTACTACAGACCTCCGAACCAATTCAATGCAATGAATCGTGCGCCCGTGACCCCTCCGAAGAAGGGGGCACCAGCCCTGGCGGCAGCCTCACCAGCAACAGGATCAGAAGGAGCACGCAAGGCAGCAGCAAAAGCAGCCACACCACCACCAGCAAAAGGATCAGAAGGAGCAGACAAGGCAGCAACAGCACCAGCAAAAGGATCAGAAGGAGCACACAAGGCACCAGCAACAGCAGCAGCACCACCACCAGCAGCACCAGCAACAGCAGCAGCGCCACCAGCAGCACAAGCACTAGGAGCGAGTGCAAAAGGTGCAGCAACAGCAAAAGCAGCAGCACCCTGCCTGCCTGCGGTGCCTCCACCGCCACCGGCAAGGGTGGCGCAGCAATCCCGCACCACAGGGCGGGGACACAGAGACGGTCCTTCGCAAAGGCGAAGGGAAAAGGCCCAAGCTGTCGTGGCCAAGGAAGAAGCCCGCGCCACTTTCTACGAGGCAAAGGCGCTGCTGCAGGAACAGGAATTGCAGCACAGTGCTGACATGCAACTGCATCAGCTTCAGCAGCAGCAAATGTTTCAGCAGCAATTGCAGCAGCAGGAGCAGCAGCAGCATCAAGCGTTGCAGCAAGCGTTGCAGCAGCAACAGCAGCAACACCAGGTGGCGATCGAAGCGGTCGCCCAGCGCACAGAGGGCATCGCTGCCTACTGGAAGAACCAGTACCAGGCACAGAAAAAGGGATTGTGGTGAGGTGTTGAAGAAACTTTTCTCATGGCACATCATAACATGAGGTTTTCATTGGGACTCAATTTCAATCCCACGCACGCAATCCATCAACATGCGCTCATCACAGGAGAGGACCGCGATGGCAAATGCGGCGAAGGTGTGTTGGCTTCTGCATTTTGATGTTGAAATCCACACCCCAGCCACCATGGTCTGAAAGCATCTGTTTTTTTGGTCTGTCAGGCAGAATACGAAGCAAGGATCCAGGCTGGAAAAGTCTTCCAGTTCAAGTTTTTGTGATAACGCACCGTTCATAGCATCGTGCGACAGGACCTGGAGAAAAGACTTGCAGATGCACAGGCTGGAAATCAAGGGTTTGTCTTCATTGTCATGGCACTATGCTTCAATGTTTTGCGGTGCTTTGTGGTGTTGTCAGGAGTCAAGGAAAAAAGACGCTGCAGAAGAGCAAAAGAGGGCAAAGATGTTGCAGGCCTGCAATGGCATTTTGTCTGTTGAGTCTGTTGATTGAAAGGTTTGGCCCTGTCTTTGCTTGTGTCTTTTGAAACCTGCTGCCCTATCAGGATCTCTGGAAGAACTACCAGGTCCGCGTCAGGGAGTCGGAGCAGAGCCACATGAGACGTGAGGCCAGGATACAGTTACAGTCAAGATCTATCAAGCCCCAGTGGCACAGACCGCCCAGGAGTTCCGGACACAGCTGTCAATGACAGCTGAAAAGCTCGAGGACCAGCGATTGGTGAAGTCAAGCCATGTTTTTCAACTCAGCTTTGTTCTCCTGTGTGTGCATGCGTCAGTCTTTGGCAGGAACTGAAATGGAAGAAGGAACAAAAGAAACTGAAGAAGCAGCAAAAGAAGGCAGCTGAGGCCACGAAGGCCAAGGAAAAGGAAAGAGTCAAAGAGGCCAAAAAGGCAGGGCTTTTGTTTCCAGAGAAAGGGCATGTCATTTAAAAAGATAGGTGGGGGATTTGCTCACATTTTTCCATAGGATGCTGTAAAAGTGTCCGATAGATTCAAAAGTGCTGTTCAAACAGAGGTGGTGGATTTGCTCACATGTTATTCCAGAGGCCAGAGGCGCCGCACCAAAGGGCATGAGTGGCCACAAGCGCAAATCACCGAGCGTCAGTGATTGAAATATCATTGAACAACGCATTGTACAGACACACCATACTCCGCTGGGCAAAAAAAGATGTTGCAGCACTGCATCTTGCGGGTAGACGCTGTAAAAGTGTCTGCAAATTAGGCTCTGTCTTGTGGAGACGCTGTAAGAGTGTCCATGAAACAATTGCAATTAGACATATAAGTTGCATTCAGTTTTCTGATATCAGTGCTGCCCAGGTACATGCTGAGCGAGGCCGAGGAAGAAGGAGTGGAGCACTCCTCAGAATCCATACCATTGAAAGATATTGCAAGTCATGTTCAATTGCCATGTGCCATTTCAATGCTTACCAACAACGACGCTAAGGTTGCAGCCATGATGCCTGTATACCTAAACCTATACTGTATTTTTTCTATTGTATAAATCTAAGAAACATAGAAGATCATGTCTATATAAGCCATGATGCACCTTGCTTTGTAGCCACTCTTGCAGCTGCAATGCAATGCTTGAGAGCATATTTATATCATTTAAAGATATTGAAAGTCATGGTCAATTTCCATGTGCCAGCCACTCTTACAGCAGCAATTCAATGCTTGGCAAGAACGACACTGAGGTTGCAGCCATTGTGCCTGTATACTATACTTTTTATCTCATAAGCATAGATTATATCATATGTATTATATATATATATCTATTTATTATCTTATATACATATATAGTTGGATATTGACGCTGACCCCGCCTCTGAACTTGATGTGAAAGATCTTGAAGCTTCCGGACTCTTCGGCTTCTCGCGATCCAGGATGTAGGTCCAGGCACTTTTACAGCGCCAAGTCCAACCAGCACTCTTACAGCGCTAGACACTTTTACAGTGTCTGGACACTTTTACAGCGTCCGGGCATTAGTACTCTTACAGCACTAATGCCCCCTGAGCACTCTTACAGCGCTAGACACTTTTACAGCGTCTGGACACTGTTACAGCGTCCGGGCATTAGTACTCTTACAGCACTAATGCCCCTGAGCTCAGTCCACCTAAATTTTGAGAGAAGCGGCGATTGAAGATGATGAAGATGACCTGAGAGTTCAAAAGTGAGCATCACCGCACAGAAAAAAAAAAACATGCATCACTGCCTTTGGCAAGTATGTTGCAATTCTCGTCATATATATATATAATTATATATGTATATATATATATTTATACTAGACTATACTATGGCAATTCTCTTGTATATACTTTTTGGAAATACTTGGCCATAATTTGAAAGCCACTCTTACAGCGGCAACTAAGTGACAGGTTGCTGCAGGCTCTCATTGCCAGCACAAGTTGCAATTGAGGTGCTCGCCACCATGGCTTGAAGGCTGCGGTCAGGAGGAACAACAACGAAACCACTACAACTACTGTAGTATGCATTGAATGGGATGGGTTTCTAATAAAGCAAATGTTCCATACCCCTGCCTGCTGTATTTGTTTGGTCGCCCTGCCCCCCCTCATTCTTATGATATGGGCTGCAGCATCACAACAAATCAACGTCTCTTGTGTCTTGGCAGGTTGTAAAAAAGAAACAGATCAGCCAACCAAAACATTATCATTAAAATTACTTGTGACATTTGGTAAATGCTGATCTTCGCCGTTTTGTTTCTTGTTCTGTTTCCAAAAACCATGAAAGAAAAATAATCACCAAAAACCATTATCAAAACACCATGTTGTTTGAACAGCACCCTTTTAAATCATAGCGGACACTTTTACAGCATCCCACGAAAAAAGTTTGAACAGATCCCCCCACCAATCTTTTTTAAATGACTTGTGACATTTGGTACATGCTGATCTTCACCGTTTTGTTTCTTGTTCTGTTTCCAAAAACCATACAGAAAACTAATTACCAAAAACCATTATCAAAACACCATGTTGTTTGAACAGCACCCTCTTGAATCACAGTGGACTCTTTTACAGCATCCCATGGAAAAATGTGAACAGATTCCCCACCTATCTTTTGGAATGACTTGTGACATGTGGTAAATGTTGACCTTCACCGTTTTGTTGCTTGATCTTTCTCTCGAACCACAAACAAAAAACCCATCACCAAAAACCAACATCAAAAACAAAATGTTGTTTGAACAGCACCCTTTTAAATCATAGCGGACACTTTTACAGCATCCCACGAAAAAAGTTTGAACAGATCCCCCCACCCATCTTTTTTAAATGGCTTGTGACATTTGGTACATGCTGATCTTCACCGTTTTGTTTCTTGTTCTGTTTCCAAAAACCATAAAAGAAAAATAATCACCAAAAACCATTATCAAAACACCATGTTGTTTGAACAGCATCCTTTTGAATCATAGTGGAATAGTGGACACTTTTACAGCATCCCATGGAAAATTGTGAACAAATCTCCCACCCATCTTTTCGAATGACTTGTGCCATGTGGTAAATTTTGATCTTCACATGTTTGTTTCTTGATTTTTTCGAAGAATCATAAATAGAAAATCCAGCACCAAACGCCAATATCAAAAACAATATGTTGTTTGAACAGCACCCTTTTGAGTCATAGTCATAGTGGACACTTTACAGCATCCCATGGGAAATTCACCTTGAGGATCCCTTTCCAAGGGAAATGTTGTTATGTGTTTTTTTCTTCACATTTTTGTTTCTTAACTTTTTTTCGCAGCAGCATAAATAGAAAAATAGTTATTCTCTATTGGTGGAAAGTTTTGATTTTTACATTTTTTTTATTTTCGCTGAGATTAAAAAAAACTTCATCAAAATCAAAATGGTAAAAGGTGGCAAGGGCTTAAATCAGCGCCAAGCAAGCAGAGATCGAGGTGATGGCATCGCCTTCAAAGAGAGAGAACGTTTTGAGAAGGAGAAGGGCAAGAACCAGGCAGTTGCAGAGAGGTCTTTGGGTGAGAACCGAAGTGATGCAACACTGCCTGGACCATTACCAAGATCAACAATGCAAAGGCTGGTCTGTCCTCAACGACCAGGAGGAGCTGTTTCGAGCTTGGAAAGCCCGAGAAGTTGGTCAAACCAAAGTTCGTTTGATTTTATACCCCACTGATGCAAGAAGGATGAGAAAGCCGCAGCCTTTCCTGTCTGCTGCGGATGCACCAATGAGAAAGACCGTCGTGACGATGGCAAATGGGGACATTTTGTCCACCGGATGGGAAGATTGGCAGCAAGCATCACCTTCATCGCAGATACGACCTTTGCCAAACAAACCAAGGTCTTTTATCCTCACCATGTTTGGCAGCCAGATTGACGATGAAGAGATGGAGGTTCAAGAGCTTGCGGGAGAGCAGGATCAAATTGTAGCTCGTGAAACTGAGAGACAGAGAAAATGGGATGCATTGCCAAGAGAATTGAAAATGGCTGTCCGACGTATCCACGTCAACTTGGGCCACTGTCCAACAGCCCAAATGATGAAAGCTCTGAGGATCAGTCGAGCCTCAGAAACAGCCTTGAAAGCTTGCAAACTTTTTCGTTGTCCTGACTGCCCGAGGTTGAAAGAGCCAAAGGCACCACGACCTTCGAAGCTTCCAATCGTCGATGAGTTCAATGGCGATTGGCATGGATGTTTTTGAGGAATCAGACGCTTCAGGTCAAAAGTGGAGTTGGCTCAACATTTTGTGTCAGGGCAACTCCTTTCAAGTTTGTTGTTTGCTTGGTGAAACCTCGAAGAATCCAACGTCGCTTCAGGTGTTGGAAGCCTTCGAGCATGGCTGGGGCAACTGGGCTGGAATGCCAGAGCATGGCATCATTGTGGATCGTGCCAAGTACTTCCTCAGTTCCTTGGCCGAGCATATGTCCCATGAGGGGTGCCATTTAGATGCTGCAGCAAAGCATCTCCCTGGCAAATTGGTCAAGTTGAACGTGCTGGAGGCCTTTGGAAGGCCATGTTTAGACAGCTATGTTGGCCCCAGCAAGTGAGTGGAAAAGAAGGTGTCCTCTTGGCAACTGCAGCCATAAATTCAGCTCGCAACAACCTGGCGAGAAAGTCAGGCTTTGCGCCCATTCAGTGGGTCCTTGGAAGAACTACCAGACTCCCAGCTGACCTCATGCATGAGGGTGAGGTGGCGCGACTTGGAGCTCAAGCAGCCGCTGAGACACCAACCACACGTTTCTTTAGGAAGAACCAACTGAGAATGGCAGCTCATGAAGCCTTTGTCAAGACCGCCAACAATGAAGCACTTCGTCGAGCTGAGCTTAGAAGAGTCCGACCTACCAGAGGGCCATTCCATGTGGGCTCCTATGTCTTCTTCTACGACCAGCAAGGAACTCAAGGAAGTGCTTTGAACTGGCGCGGTGTTGCGCGAGTGGTGGGCCATGAAGGTTCACGAATTGTGTGGTTGTCGCACCGTGGCATTCTGATTGCAGCCTCCCCTGAACATCTCAGTCATGCCAATGAGGAGGAGATCCAAGGATGGATGGTGACGCAAAACGAGCGGGAGCTCATAGATGCCACACCTGCAGCTGGTGGAGCCGGTTTCTCTTGACCTCAGACAGAGGCCTACACCACCAGCAGAAGGTTTTCCTGAAGAGCCACTGCCTGCAGAGGAAGCTTTGGAAGCTCCGAAAGACGGCGCTGCAGAAACGCCTGCGCTGAGAGATGCAGAAATGTCAGAAGGCTATGAGCCTACGGAGGCAGTGGAGTCGGCGGATGAGAACATGCCGAAGGAAGGTGGTTCAGTGAAGGCTGAGGATCTGTCTGCAAGCTCAACATCGATGGCTCGTATCCAATTGGAATCAGAGAGAGAGCAAAAGAGAGAAATCCGTTCAGGCCTTTTCTTTGAGAGGAAGCAGAAGGAGAGAAAAGCTTTGAAGGAGCAACAGAAAGTGCAGCGCCTGAAGGATTTGGAAAGAGAGGCTGTCACAACTCCCGTCTTTCCAGAGTTTGACCCTGACCTGGATGATTTCCGATCTCCGGCAACAACTCGTCCTGCACCTATTCCAGAAGAACCAGAGATAGATGAGGCAGTTGAGAGAGAAACCAAACGGAGAAGACAGGGTGGAACGGAAGATGGAAGTGGCCAAGCTTCTTTAGCTTTTGCTTTCCATGCCTATGACTCTGACGAGTTCCTCTTGAGCCAGGCGAAGAATGAGTACGGCCTGAAGGTCGAATACTACCAAAAGCATGGCGTGGAGATGGAGGAATTTTTGTTTGGTGTTGAAAGAAATGATTTCAATAGCCACTATGGTGAACTTTGCAGAGAAGCACAAGCTCGGGCCTATGTAGCTGCACCCACCGATGCAGCGACTGGTCCAAAGAAACGTGGTAGGAAAGAACTGAGATTGAATGAAGTCACCGAAGAGCTGGCTGCACAGTTCAGTGGTCCAGGTGGTTCGGATGAGAAGGAATGGACTGCTTGGATGGAAAAAGGGGCTTGTGATGTCCTATCTGTAGCTGAAAGCGATGAGATCTTTCGAACCAAAAGCCAGTGCATCATACCAACGAGATGGGTCCGCACCAACAAAAATGATGGCTTGGAAGGGAAACCTTTTCTCCCGAAAAGCCGACTTGTGGTGCAAGGTTTCAAGGACAAGTCCCTGGGTTCTTTCAGAAGGGACGCACCTACGGCATCGTCTTTGGCCGAATCCTTGTGTTTGGTGCTGGCAGCTGTTTTTGGTTTCGTTATTGTTTTCCAAGGATGTCAAGAACGCCTATTTTTCTGGACATGAAATTGGCCGTGAGCTGTATTTGCAACAGCCACGTGGTGGTCTCCCCGGCTTCAAGAAAGGCCAACTGCTGCGAGCCCGGAAGGCGATTTATGGCGTCTCCGAGGCAGCTCGTTTATTCTGGCTAGCTCTCAGAGAGCACCTGCTGTCTGACAATTGGGTTGGGTCTAGACTGGAACCCGCCTTATTTTATTTGCGGGATGCCGAAGGCCGACTAGCTGGTGTGTTGGTCACCCACGTGGATGACATCGAAGCTGGAGTCCGAAAGGACATGGTGGAGAAAGCTTTTGAGAACTCAAGCAAGGCTTTGGAGTTTGCTACCAGCAACCAAGGTAGCTTCATTTTTCGAGGTCGAGAGATTTCTCAAGCTCAAGATGGGCATGTGGATGTCAGCATGACCAACTATGCCAAGGCCATGAAACCAGTCAAGATAGCTCGAGAGAGGCGACAGCAGCTGGAAAGTCGTTTGACCATGGAGGAGAAGAATCAAATGATGAGCGCAGCGGGTGAGTTGGTGGGTTGGATCACCAGGCAGCTTCGCAGTGACCTTTCCTATGAAAATGGATGCATCCAGAGATGCAAAGGAGATCCTTGTGTGGCGGATTTGGTAAGGGTCCGTCAAGCCATTGCAGCTGCAAGGAGAGCTGCCACCTTTAGACAAAGGTATTGGAACGATGTGAACCTGGAGGATGCAGTTTTGGTTCACATGGCCGATGCTGGTCACGCCAATGGTGTTCCTGAAGGTGATGACATCAAGCGTTACCAGTCCATTGGTGGTTATTTCCTTTTTCTGGCCAACAAGGAGATTTTGGAAGGAAAGCCTGCGAGAGCCAACCTTTTAGCATTTCATTCTTCACAGATCAAAAGAGTTTGCAGGTCAACACTGGCGGCAGAAGCTTCGCATCTTTCTGAAGCTGTGGAGGCCGGTGACTGGCTAGCAGTGCTGTTGGATGCAGCACTACATGGTCGTCAAGATCTCAAGCATTGGGATCAACTTGTGGAGAAACGAAAACGGGTCTATGTCACTGATTCTCAGTCAGTTTTCGACTATCTGCATCGAGATAGCACCTCTACCAGCAGCGACAAACGGATGGCGATTGAAGGAGCACTCTTACGAGAGACCGTTCGTCGTCCTGGTGCTGAAGTCAGATGGATCGATGGGGAACAGAATCTGGCAGATATCCTCACGAAGCCTCGTGTGGACAGGGCCCTGCTCATGGAGTACATGAGAACTGGAATGCTGAGTTTGGTTCAAACAGAAGCCAACCGAAAGTCCAAGGAGAAGAAGAGAGCACAAAGATCTGCTCGCAAAAAGGTGGTGAAGTCAGATGAGAAGAAATTGAAAGAGAAGGACGCTCGTATCGAGCGAGTGGTTGCCGAGATGCGGGAGCGTGCTGAGATTGAGTCAGAAGCAGAAGTTCAGCCAAAAGAAAAATTATGAGTGTGAGAATCCCCTGCAGTGCATTGCAATTGACTGCAACTGACTGAACTTTGCTGTGTATGCATTCATAGCTGGCCCAGATCACAGCCGACGCATTGCATATGTCAGCTAGTGCATGGCCCGCACGGCAAGGATGACACGCACCATCAAAGAAAGAGATCAAGCACAAATCGAGAAGTGCACATATCACTATCCAAATACTTTCACCTTGTTTTGCAACTGTCGTGAAAAGGGTCCGTTGCCAGTCTCAGAATATGTATAATATATATGTATTATATATATATATATGTATAATATATATGTATAATATATATATGTATAATATATATGTATAATATATATGTATAATATATATGTATAATATATATGTATAATATATATATATATATGTATATTATATATGTATAATATATATGTATAATATATATATATGTATAATATATATGTATAATATATATGTATAATATATATGTATAATATATATGTATAATATATATATATATATGTATAATATATATATATGTATAATATATATATATATATATGTGGAATATATATATATATGTTTAATATATATGTATAAAATATATGTATAGGGGACTTTCCAATCGTTCATATATATATATACACATTTACACGACGCATGGATATATGTATATATAGATATACACAAGCCGCAGTTGAAACTCCCATCTCCAATGGCCCACTAGTTTTAATTGCTTCAATGCGTGGAAACTCTTGAGCAGTTTCAATGCGACACCTACATTCACCTGCAGCGCCAAGGTTTGCAGGTGAAGCCACGGCTGGCATCTCATCCAAAGCGTTTCGGACAAACATAGCAAATGCTTCGACGCCGGGACCGGAAGAATCTTCGGTTGCAGGCCAGGGTTGTTTGTTTTTGGATTCGTCTCGAGGAGTTGAGGGCATGAACACCTAAACCTTAGGCAGACTTGAAGGCGCGTTTGCGTTTGTGTTCCATGTAAGCATGCATGTATGGCTTGAATTTCGGCAATGTTCAGTTTTTATCAGCACCAAACACCAAATTTTATGTTTCAAGAAACATAGCAAATTTAAAGTGATGCAAGCAAGTTCTGTGCAATGATGCCGATGAAGACCGCAACCGATTGGGGTTGGTGGGTCCCTCTCTTGATTTGTTTTTTTGCTTTGGATGCACGAGCACATCAGCCGCCCTTTGACATGGGTTGAAGGGTTTTTTTGGAAATCATTCCAATTTGTCACTAAACAATTAGTTCATCACCCATGTTCATGATATGTTTTGATTACTACAGCACCAGTAGAACCTTGCTATCACCCGGGGTGATGGCCACTTCCCAGATGGACGGGTGCTTGGCGATTTCATTCCATAACACATTTCGATGTGTTTGTGCAGTTGTGCGATTTTAGTGAAACGCACTACGCACGGTGAATTAATGTGTGACAGCCCGTTCCCGTGTCGCTATGAATGTTGAGAGTCCGAGGGTCCATCTGTGGGACAGGCAAGCCAGCACAGATTGCACGCAGACGAAAAAACAAAATCAATACATCATTATTGCAAATGGTTCAAGTCACCGACCTGAATGATCCCTACGGAGTGCAGGTTTTAGTTATGACGCAGATTCCTAACGGACTCCTACATGAGCCTTGAAAAAACCTATTGGCTGCAAGGATTTTCCCGGCATCTTGTTGATGACAGATGGTGAGTTGGCCTTGGGCGCCCAACACCCGAAATTGGGATAGAAATCCCCATTGAAATTTCCCCTATGGAATGCTTGGCCTCTAGGCCGCTGTTGCATCAAAGCCTCCTGTTAGTGCCCCTATCTCTTTTGAGCATTTTGCATTTTGCTTATTCAAACCTTCTAAGTACGTTTCCTGCTCTCCCCAATTTCCATTTGGGTCCATGGGCAGTTCCATTTTGGAACTTGTTCGGTTTTCGAGGCGCCATAAAAAAAACTGCGGCGGGCTGCTCTTAAAACTTAGTGGCTCTGCGCCTGTCATACTCAGGCTCAACAATGATGAGTACGGCAAAATGTGTCGACCAAAAAGGGAACTGACCCTTGGGAAATAGATGGCTGGGCTGCAACATGTAAGGGTTTTAATCGCAGCGTGATGAATCATGAAAGCACATGTGACCAGGCGCACATTTTGCATCGGAAAATGCTTCAATAGCTTTACATGTAGCGTGAGGATAGGTTCGGTGAGGCAACCTGCATTTTTTGCCCAAGAGTTGTGTTGGAAAGCCAGGCTGATTCGGACAAATGGCATGGCTTTTAATTTTGAGATTTTACACGAGCTTACTAGTATCCCCCTTGAAATACCTTGAAATTCACCTTAAGGGGTGAGACCCCCCTTCTGGGATAGGTATAAACTTGCAAAAAAACCTAGAGAATGAGTGGGGGCAACTCTGCTGCTTGGCATGTATTGCAAAATGTACGCAGCAGCAGAGTTGCAACTATTAAGATTTCAAAATGCAGCGCCACGCCACTTGTCCGAATCAGCTTGGCTTTCCAACACAGCTCTTGGACAAAATGGGTTGGTAGGAACGCTTCGCTTGTCAACATTGTAAAAAGAAAAGCAGCACATATCAGTGAGCCATAGTGAGCCCATTTCCCTACAAAAAGGACGGTTTGCTCCTTAAAGACAATTGAGGGCTGCGTGAGAAAAAATTACGGAAATGGCAGAGCAGCAGGTTCTTACAAAATGGTGCCTTTGTTGGGCCGCAGGGTCCTACTGTAGCATGCAAGCAAGGCTCATATGATAGAAATCAAATATCTGGGCAAAATATACCTCCCTACAACATGTCGGGTGCAACAAAGGTTGGTTGATGAACAAAACCTTACCTGGTAGGGCCTACCATTTGTATGGATTTGTTTTTACTTGCCCCCATTCATTCTGTAGGTTTTTTGCATGGGCCCGGGGTTAAAAGTTATAAGAAGTGGGCCCTGACCCCTTACTGTAGGGATGAATTTCAAGGGGGATTGATAGAATCGCTTGGTTTGCCGCTCGGTGTTGGCGTCAAATCAAGACCTGTAAGCCAGGCAGTTCCGAAATCACTGTCACTTCCATTTGTTGGGATGACTTGCCCAACTGAACCATACCTTTCACATGGGTGGCGCATCCGCCGGCTACATACGCGGGTGGATTGTATGTTTGTATAGGGGTCGCTATATGTCATTTTGCGTTGTGAAATTGCAAAACATTGGGTTTCTTGATGTGCATAATAAGCAATGGCGGTAATGTATTTTTGTTTTGCTTGTGATGGTGATCCCAGGTGATCAGTGGGCTGACATTTCTGGGATAGGTTGCTCAACCACTGCCCTGTCCAGGGCCTCCTGCCAGCATTGACAACAAGGAGGTGGAGGAACATGAAGGCCGCAGTCTCAGTCGCTGGAGACAGCCGGTGAACTCATATCAAGTTGAACTTTGCAAGCTATGTTTTGAGATGGCGGTTTTTTTTGGTTTCAAGTTTGGGTATTCCATGCTACATTTGGGGTATGGCAATAGGACTATCCTTGGTTCAGGGCCATATTTACGTATACATACATATGGCCACCCTCATAAAAACGTTGATAGGACAGCCACAACATACCGCAACCGCAGAAAAGCAATCAAGACAACAAAGCAGCAGGAAAAGCAGTAAAGTACATAGCATCCACTGCGTAGTATTTGGGTTCATAACTGTCTTTCCGCAGCTTGCAAGTTGCTTTATCATTAACGCGCTGGAACGCCCTGTTAGCCAAAGATGTTAAACTGAACCAACAGTTGCATTGAGGACATCACTGTTTGGACTGCCGTGTTGGTTTGTCCCACCTAGGGCTACCCAGCCTGCGAGATGAATTGCCAGAAGGGAACGAAATCGACCCCGAAGCGGTTGACTACAGCCACATTGTGCGAAATGCATTGTGAGATGATCGCAGAGCGCAATTGTATCTTCCAACCTCAGGTGCCCAAGCCAATGCCATCTTTACTACACTTGTTTTCAGTCGTGAGAATGTAAGAATTCGGTTCTGTATGTTTTAGAAGTTGCCAATTCCAAGTCAACATGTTTTTGAAGTACGTGTGGTTTTTAGGATTTATTGGGGTGGCTGAGGCATGTGGACAGGTTTGCCTGAGCATGCCTGAGCTGTGGAGCGACATGGAGCGGTCATTCTGCTTGACTGGGTTCTACCATGAAATTGTGCCTGTGACCGGCCACCAAACGTCACATCTTCCTACGCCCCTGTTTGCAGAGGTCAGAAGTTGTTACTTTTTTTCCGTTCACATTGCCCTGTGAAACAGGCAAAAATGTTGTTCTGGAGGCTGACCGTCAGACTGACGAATTGAAGCCAATAAACCGTTCAAGATATGTCAAGCATGCTGCGTCAAGTTTCAAGAATTTTCAAGATATGAAAATCTATTGCGCGTTGTTTGTGTCAAAGGTATCAGAACCTTGATGCATGCGACCCTAGATCGACAGTTCGCCAAAGGGCAGACTTGCTCCAATCTTTTTGGGTTCGTGGAGCAAAGAAACCGTTTGTTGTGGTTTCTTCCCTCCCGCAAACTGGAAAAGAAAAAACATGAAAAAACATAGGGTGACTGGGGCCACTGCTCGGAAGGGCCAGTTGTAATCCGTCTCGGCCTGGTCTTCCGAACCCTTTCGCGGGAGGGAGATCGACCATGGTATACCATGGTATACCATTGCTGTTGCGAAAGAGCCATCGAATGATTATATTTCTCATAATTTGTAGACATACAGGCAATAAAGACACATATTCAAATACACATAAAACCACATTAAGTCACATGCAAGGAAAAGATGGTAACATACTAACATATGCTTACATACACCCACAAAAAGTCATATGAACTTCCATATTCGGGTTGCCGATTGTGTGTTACGCCAAGGTCCAGGTGGCGCTGAAGTGAAGCGTGTCCAGCTGAATTCAATGCGCTACTTGGGGGTGCATCCCACTTAGTATGCATTTGGTAACAATATAATATTAGTACCCCAGTTTGGGTGGTTTTCAACTATAAACCGTTGTAATTTCCCAAAAAAACAACTGATAACTGACATGCTCTGTAAGCCAAGCATTCACCTCCGGCTGGCTTAGTTGGATCAAGACGCCATAGTGGAAGTATGCAGGCGATCCAATAGTTGGCAAAGGCCATATATGTATGAACTGCTAACATGTCAGGGATCATCCCTGTATGTGAGTGATCGAAACAGATCGCGTCTTGATTCGAAATTCGTCTGTGGCTTGTTGTGGCTTTCCATTTGTTGTTTTCCATCTTCAAAGCACAATGGCTCAGAATGGCTCAGAATGATTGGCCGAAGACTGTCTTTAGTCTGGCAAAGGGAGATTGTGAGTTGCAGACGATGCAGAGGATGCTAGTGGTTCTAGCTAAGTGTCTCTGATTTGTGAACGTAGACCCTCTAATATACATTGCTGCATGCTGGAAACCGTGCCCATAAGGCAACAAACTCAGATGTGACTTGACGGACAAAGATTAGATTCACCTGTTCCCACAGTTCGTGTTGACTAACCGACTGTATGTTCTAGGGTGGTCAAGTATTCCCACAGTTCATTCCCCGCACATGTTACCCGGTTTCATACAAGTGTTGCTGATCAGTCACTTGTGCTGGAAAAAGATCTTTGCTTGGCAATGTCATCAGGGACGCCCAAAACTGTGACAACAACCACTTGTGGGTGATGTGGGTCTGTGTGTGGTGTGTGTGTGTGTGTTTGGTGCTTGGTGTGTACTGGACAGAAAATATGTTTGGTTCACGGTATAATTACTTGAAAGTGTGTACAGATAGCAAAATCAAACAGCAAAGCATGCAAAAAATAAGTAGATAGATAGAACGTGTAATATTCATTTATTTACGATTCATCCGCGTAGTAGAAATCCGTGTGTGTGTGTAATTATATGCATGGAGCGATAGATGTATAAACAGTACATCGATGGAACTGCTTGGTTGTTTGACATGTGCCTGCCAAAGTGGATTGAAACCAAGCAGTGTGGGGACTGCAGATGAATATCCAAAATGGCGTTCATGTGTGGGATGCTTAGCAGATTACCGGCTTTGACCCAAACTTGGATGTGTATAATATATTCCTGGATTTGTGTCGATGACCCCCTTTTTTGTCAGATGGTTTGGTTCACCACCAACGACTTGACATCCTTGAGTCCTTGAGGCCTTTTTTTCAGCCCGATATTGCATGATTGGCTCCAGCTTCTGTTTGCCAACCGGCTGGCCGTTGGCAGAATCGGCATGCGCGGCACGTTCTTTTCGCCCTGTGGGCGGCTGCCTTGTTGAGGACGGAAAACTGTCTTAGATCC